GATCGTGCGCAACTACGTGATGGGATGCTCCAACCCGAGCTGCTTCGACGCTAGTGAAGCCATCTCGCGGTCACTGGACGCCGTCAGGGGTGACCCCTGCGACGACTTCTACGGCTTCGTGTGCGGAGGCTGGCAGCGGGCGAACCCGGGGACGAACAACCTCTTCCAAGATCTTCAGCAGCGCGTGGCATCGGCGGTCGTCATCAGCCTTGTCCTTGAGGACACGAAGGGTGACAAGCTTGACCCATCGAAACAAGTGGCGCTGTTGTTCCAGAGGTGCGCCCAGCTCGCCTTCGGTGAACATGAGCACATGCATGAGCTGAAAGCGTTCCTGGCTCGATTCAACCTCAGTTGGCCTAATTCGCCACCAAGGTAGGTCACCGGCGAGATTTATTCCTTGCATTAGCTGATAGCTTGTTGACCTGAAGGTCCCTCGACTATGAGCAGTATTCACTGGCGGCATAGCATAGTTCGCGGCTGCTTAGAGGGCGCTCACGGCGAGCTCCCACGGTTCTTTTGCAATGTGTATTCCACACCATCAAGCGTGCCAGTTTTAGCAGCCTAAAAGTCTGAGTTCATTACGAGAATGCGCAGTGAACAGCGCACTCAAATATAGCGTCCAGTGAATATTAGCAATGTACGCGAACAAAAGCGTCGCTTTAGTCGGCTTTCCGCGATTTGTTAAACGACGGGCATAAGAGCATCGTCTAGCGGGTTTCACATGCAGCGATTTTTAGCCAGAGCGGCGCGATTTTTGCTGTCGCGGCGCTCTGGCAGACGCAGCGGCTGAGCGGCACGGTTCCACCAGGTTGGAAATGTTTCGCCGCGGCAGAGCAGCAGCTTCCGCGCTGGTCACTTCTAGCCAGTGTTGTACACGTTCCTCAAAAAAAGGAACGAAAGCTCGTTCCTCGTTCCTTCTGATTTTTGGAACGCGTTCCCGTTACAAGTTCCATCTGTGAAAAAGGAACTCGTTCCCGTTACAGTTAAAAAAATGGAACGTATCGTTACATATATACGTTACATTTGTATTTTGCTGATTTATCATATTTGGCTAGATCAAGCAAAGTTTTCTCTTTTTTTTTATCTATCCCATCAAATGGGAATATACGAATTTATATGTCGTGATGGAAGGGCACCAGGAGAAGAAAACAAGCGGAATCAAGGTTTTATTTGTTGATAAATTCAAGTTCAAAAATCGCAGCTTTTAACCATATTCATGTTTGTGATGAACGATTCAGATGAGCCAAATCTACTGTTAGCCCACATTGTACGAGCGTTTTACAAGAACCTCACGCGTTTAAATCTAACAAAGACCCTTTTTCGAACTTTACAACAGTTGCTCCTCGATGTTGCTGTCCGCAAGATGGACAAGTGAAGGGAAGGGTATGCTTTTGGAAGCTCAGTCTTGAAAACTACAAGTAGTTCTTTGTGAAGGTTTGATTCATTCTTCAGTTTGAAGGTGGGGGACAAGGGGAGAAGGAATAAAGGTTAATTTTTGTGTATCGTTTAAGTGACCAATATTCGGGATACAAGGGTGCGTTCGATGTCTGGTAACCTGTGATTTTGTTGTAACTGTAGGTCTCTTTATGAAAGTTCAGGAATGGCTTAGTCAGCCTTAGATTTCTGGGTGTATGAGGATTCGTGGAAGCAAAAAGAGTAGCTGAGTTTGAAACGTCCCTCTTTGTATCTTTTCGTGCGACTAAAAGTTTTGCTTTCTGTACCGCAGTCTCAGGCACTCAAAAAAGAATCATTCATGTCCACTAGCTCTCCTGCGAATGACTGTTACCAAGCGAGGACCACACAATATAAATCCGAAGATAAGTAACCAAAGAGTTAACGAGTTATAACAATATTGTCGTAAAGATTTAGTTTTTTATACTTCAAATATTTCCCTCGTAAAAATAAGATACAAATTACCCCACTGAACGATGAAAGGAACGCCGTTACTCTTTTCGTTCCAGTAAAAATGTAACGCGTTCCCGTTCCAGTTCCAGGGATGCAAAATAGAACGGCGGCGTTCCTTCGTTCCTCCTAGAAGGAACGCGTTCCAGGAACGCCGTTCCTTGGAACGCCGTTCCGTACAACACTGCTTCTAGCGCGGGGGAAAACACGTGACAGGAGGAGAAACATTGCGGAAAAGCTGGCGCATAGGACGGCGGCGTTTTCACGTTTTTGAAGCAGGCGACAAGCAGAAAAAGTACTCAAGTGGTTTGCGGTTTCTTTTTCTCCGGCTGGTCGAGCTTCTGTGCTTCAGCAGTCGCGTCGTAACTTCAGGAGATTATGTAAAAGGGTGATTGCTGTCCCTTTCCTCGGAATTTGTTTTCTCAATGAATTACGCGGTTCTTTTACTCCCGTCGCCTGCGTACCAACTGTAGCGAGCGCGAGAGACGCTGGTCGGAAGCGGCTTGTGCAAACGCGAGTGAGAAAAACAAAAAAAAAAAAAGAAGAAGAAAAAGAACTGAGCGACATTGACGTGTCTTTTCCGACACAGACCGTCACACCAAGTAAGACACAATGTATCGCGCCCAGTTCAATGAACTGCTTACCAGAGAAGTGTCGAAGCGTCGGGTTCTTTGTGACGCGCAGCTCAAAGAATTTAGGAACAATGGGACCAAAGAGAAACTCTGGCAAGAGGCGACTGAGGCCGTGAAAGTGATCGACAAGGCCAGTATGAAACCACCGAACTACTACGGGTTTGAACGCCGTCCAGAAGGTTCAGGTCGGCCATATCAGTTGAAGTCTTTACATCCGAGGAAGGCGCTTCCTGTGACGCTGCCGAGGATGATCCGAGGTTTCATACTTCGCAACAACAAAACTTGAAAAAAAAAAAAAAAATAAAAGGAACTAAGGCTAAGGTTTATTTCACGACCGGTCGTGGTTTATTTAGTAATTTAAACGATTTTTGTTTTGTTTTATTAAGGTGAAATTAAAGGGGAAACTGAAAACTAAGGCATTAAAATTGTTTTTAGAAGCCGCTGTTAACGACTGTGCGCATTTGCTTGCTGCAAGCAACATTGGCCATCGCAACGCGCTCTTGTGAGATGAAACCTCGCGATGCGTGCCGCCGCGCCGCTAGCGGCAGCGATAAGGGCCGCGGAATCGCTGCACCTGAAACCCGCTTCAGACGGCCAACTTTGTTGGTGCTGGTTTGAGAACACTATGACTCCTACCTTTCACGGTGTTTTTCACACACAACATCAAACTTGCGGGTACAACAGATGGTAATGTAACCTAGATCACAACTTGTGATGTCGCGACAAGGAAAACCCTGGTCACGACGTCAGGGAATGAAAACCATAGGAGAACGCTACCAAAATACCTCGGCGCTAATTGGGTGCATTTTCTGATGGCCATGACCGAGTCTGTGGCTGCTGAGCGCCAGTTGACTGCGAACTTCCACAGTGCTTTTGCAACGTGCACTCCACACCACCAAGGCTGCCGGTCTTAGCAGCAGCCTAAAAGACGGCTCATTCTGAGCATGCGTTGTGAACAGCGCGCTCAAATAAGGCGTCCGGTGAATACTCCCTATGCAGACGTGTCTTGTCTACTCTAGTTCGAGAAAAAAAATGCCACTTTTCGTAAACCACAATACCCGTCCAAGAATATGCTCGTACATGGCTTGTGCTGACGTCACGTCAGAGATTACAAGCTTCGATCGACTTACCTGCACCTCCTTCACCGGTGCAGAAAAGAGTAGGGTGGTGTACTTCCGGTCGTATGTGGATACGAATACCGGAAGTACGCTGCCCTACCCTTTTCTGCACCGGTGCAGGAGGTGCAGGTAAATTGAACGAAGCTACTGTGAATGACTTTGCTGCTGCGCACGTGCCTTTTGTAGCCCATACTTCGCACTACCGAATTTGTTTTTCTCTGCAAGCAGACGTGATCATTGGTGCTGTGCAATGACGTCCCGTACAAGACATGTATGCACAATTTGAACAGTGCTGGTAATTTTGCACTCTACATTCTAAGAAATGCCTAAGCGTCTACATACCCGCAAAACACTGGAAGAGCCAATCTCTGCTATCTACGAAATCAGCTCAGCGAATGATGAGGCAGACTATCTGTTTAGACTTCAAAATTAAGTCTGCGCTGTGGCATTGCGCAATGCAAGCATGACGCTTTGCATTGCGTAATGCCACAACGCAGACTTCATTTTTAAGTCTAAACGGATGTTGCGCTTCCTGATTCGCTCAGCTGATTTCGAAGATCGCAGAGATTGGCTTCTTGAGTATAATTAACAAGGTGAAGTTAAAGTATGTATTTGATAGAATTATGCCAACACTAAAGCCTTGTCGATGAAAACTGTGAATATACTAACCTGTATAAATTTAATGCTACCCTGTCCAATCATTGCACGTCAAAATGGAAAAGTAGGCTTAGCGGTGCAGTGGATGGATTGATGGATGGATGCTAATGGATGCACCTTTTATAACGGGCGGTTCTTGCGCAACCTGGCCAAGAAACAAAGAGAAAACAAAAAGTATGATTCCTTTCCTTATTCTTTTAAGTAAATTTCCCCCCTTCAGCCTTTTTCACCAGGCGCAATCACCATGATTACCTTTGGGGGATATCGCCAGGATGACCTTGGGGAGATCGGGCAGTGTCTTGCAATTGGACCCTTTGAGCTCGCGTGATGAGTCAAACATGGCACGTTTACAAGCGGGCCCGGTTCCTTATTCCCCTCCAGGTCCAAGCTGGAAACCCTAGACCTGATGGTTTCCCTTACCCTGGACTGGGGAGTTCCCGTTCTCTTCCAACTAACCGTGGACCCCTACTTCAAGCGGAGAGGCTTCCGCATGCTCCACTTCGCCAGTAACCCCTACATGACTGAGTGGTTCGTGGCGCGCAATGCGCTCATGCAAAAGGGCTCTCTGCTGACCTACTTTCGCAGAGCCTCCCTTATACTGGCCGGCACCACCGTCAGCAAGGACATCGTGGAAAACGTCCTAGAACTCGACAACAAGGTAATTTCAACCATCATGCCCTCGGTACTTGAACCGCGTCCCGACTTTGACCTTCAGTATTTGACCATCAAGGATCTAGACGACATCGTGGGCCCATACCTCACTTCAACGGAGTGGCTAGATGTCGTAAACAAACACCTACCTATTGAACTGGAGCCACATGACGAGATGTTCGTTATGAACCATCGTCTGCTCACGCTGGTCGGCCACTTGATTAGCAGGAAGAAGGACATGGACGCTTTGCTGCCGTACATCTCTTGGCATCTGGCACGTCACATTGCGCCTATGACCTCCTATTCTCTCTCCCGTGCCCAGTTTGCGGATGACAGTGGGGTTGGCTACGCCACACTAGGATACATGCTAGGACGCTGCTATGTCGACACAGACGCCAATATGCCCTTCGCGTTCGCGCACCTTTTCACCAAGCGCTGGCTTCCCCACAGAGTGATCGACAACGCGACCAGACTGGTCGATCACATTCGCAAGGTAGCCAATGAAACCATGGTCACCTCAACGTGCATGGACTCCGCGACCAAGAGAAGCGCCCTTGATAAATTGCACACGTTGCGGGCCGTCGTCGGGTACCCGCCAGAACTGAATTCAATTAGGGCGCTCAAGCGCCACTACCGGTACGCTCCAAGACTCGACGGAACGTACTTTCACATGGTGCTCACGCTACGTGCCGCCGAGCTTTCTTACAAAAAGAGATTCCTCCGAAAGAACGGCTCTCGCGTCGTATCGGACCTGGTGAACGTACCCCTCACCCTGGTGAACGCGTTTTACGTTCCCGTATACCACGTCATGGTGATCCCGGCAGCCATCTTGTACCCGCCCTTCTACGTGGACGGCTATCCGTATTCCTATAACTTCGGTAGCATCGGGCACGTGGTGGGGCACGAGATAACGCACGCGTTCGACCCAGACATGGGCCTCTTTAACCGCGATGGCGTCCGTCGTAACTGGTGGACTGCCGAGTCTCGCGTCCTCTTCGAACGCCGCCTGGACTGCCTCCGGGAGCTCTACAATCCGCTGCCCTGGGGCGGAGGCGTCAACTTCGGCGACCACGCGCTCTCCGAGAACTTCGCCGACTGCGGCGGCATACTGAAGGTGTATCAGGCGTTTCATGGGACGAAGACCAACAAGAAGCAGCCACGACCACTCGGAGGAAGCTTGGCGAGATTCACGGATGAGCAGCTTTTCTTCATCAGCAGCTGCTTCAAGTGGTGCTCCAACAACGAGAAACAGACTCCCGGTTGGTACTCCCCTCCGCGTATGCGCTGCAACGTGCCACTTATGAACATGCCGCAGTTCTCGGAGGCCTTTCGTTGTGGTGCCGGGAAGGCTATGAACCCCTCCCAAAGATGCGACTTTATGTGAGGGTTACACTTCAGACAAGTGAAAGGCCACGGCAATGTCGATAATTGTTCGATGAATTGATGTGTTATATCGATGAATCAAGGCGATGATCCTTATGCTCAAGTCCCACTAGAGCGACAAACAGAAACAACCGACATTGACAAGCCTCGAGAACGTGAAGCATGTACGAGATGGCACCTTTGGCAGGATTTCAATCACTCGTGCTTAGCTCACGATCACCAAAAGACCGCAAGCCTGCCAAAGGTACCTTCGCTTGCGTGGTGCATGTGCTCGAGGATTGTCGGTGTCGGCCACTTTTGTTTGTCACTCGAGTGGAACTCGGGCATAAGTGTTACATTGGACTTCTACTGGGCTTTCTTTTTTTCATCCAATTTAAATTCTAGTCCTATACTTTTTTTTTGTTTGTTCGTGATGCAAGTTCTACGGGTGGCCATGCTCCGGCTATCGACGTCACTCTAAAATCAATATCTGACAGGTCCTTGAGGACCGTTAATTTATTTCCGCTCTCTTTCTTACATAAATCCAGGATAAAAATATGCAACCTTAACCATGTAACTTTGTCTGGTATTTCAATCGTACGTGCGTATGTTCAACTTTATTGTGTTGCATCTCACTTAAGACGGGACGTTCAATAATGAATTGGAAGTTGTCCAATGACAGTCCTTTGCCGAGCAATGGCTTTTAGTCACCGCCTCACTATGTCCTTAAAATGCAAAATCATCCGCGTCCGCCTACCGCATTAAATGGAGGAAGCCCCAACTCGTTTTATAACGAATAAAAGCAAAACAAGCTGTTATCTACACCTTCTCAGTAATATCATTTCCGTTGTTGAAACCCTTCACTTAAAAGTTCTGCCCGAGCAGGGCCAACACCACCTAGACAGAAGGCCTCCACACGCGTCATCATAGTCAGATCGATGGAGGCGAGAGATTGGGCACGAGTGCTGCGTCAGTGTTCGGCTGCGGCTCGTGGCCAATCAGCGCGTCGAAGGTCGGGCTCGGGTCCAATAGCCGACCGAGCGCGATCCGACTGTGATGACGTTTCATAGAAGAAGAGGAAACCATGCGGAGGCCTTCTGTCTAGGTGGTGTTGGCAGGGCTCAGGTATTCTATGTTTTCCTTCTAGTGGAACAGCATAAATACACCCTATTTGTTTGTGCCGCGAGATAATTATAAAGTTAGCTTTTGGGAATAACAGCCGGACCTCAACTTTTGCACCAACGCAGTGCGCACCTAGTTCAAAATGTCTGTCCCAGTCCTACCTCTTCCAACGGCAACATGCCCTCGTGTGTGCAACGCGCGTACGCGCGCGACGTGAGCGTGCCTACGTCTCTGTAGCAACGACCGTAAAGGCGAGCAACGACCCGATCGCGCCTTCCTTCCGATTTCTTTACTTCCGTCGTAAAGAAAAGAAAATAGAACGAAGGCCGAACTCTTGACTGTCTAGCTCGTCTCTTTTCCTCGACCGAAGCGGCTTCCCCGTAGGTCGAGGTCGACAACTCCGTGACAGGAAACCGCACTGTGGCGCTAGGAAGTTCCCTCATGAACCTAACTATTAAGCGAGAATGCCCATGGCGGAGAGTTATCGCATTAAGTATGTTTAGACGTTGGTGTAACGTGCTTGACATCGATTGATTTCACCAAGGGCTGGTATAAAGATATTTAGGGTGCTCTAAATTATAGTTGTCAATGAAGTTTCATTTAGACCTCCACCGAAGCCGGCAATGACGAATCTGCACACAACCTGATTTGGTGGAAACAAATTAATGTGGTATCTAGAAAGGGTTTACTACGGTTGATTGAATCCCATTTCATCGAAGCACGTTTTAGAGAATGGGCACGTTTTATCGAAGCACGGTTTAGATAAAGCAGAGGCTCAGTTTAGAGAAACGCCGTTTATCGAAAAGGGGAACTATTAAAAAAAAAAAAGGCTTTTCTACTTCTCGCGTGTATCACTGGTGCGCGTGTTAAGCCATGCCCCCCGCTGCGCTCCCGCCGCTTCGCGGCGGTGTCTGCGGTGTCTGCGGTGGCTCATTACAAAAATGTTAACTCACCTGACTTACCCGTACACACCGTTTCGCGGCGGCCGAACTTGCTAAAAGGAGAATCATCGCCATTTTCCCTAAACTGGGTTCTCTACAAAGACATTCGATAAACCGGGGTCGCTAAATCGGCGTTCGCTACAACGAGCTTATCTAAACCGCATGCCTGCCGATCTAGAAATACAATAACCTCTCGTGCGGCCATAGTGATAAAGTGAGGCGACCCGTATGAAAATACAAGCAAGAATGTGCCTGAAAGAATGTAATTAAAAACGTTTTTGCAATGCTTTCGAAGCTAAAATAAGTATAAAAAATGGAAACTTTTATTTTTCAGTGGAAAGAGATGGAACCGGAATATCTACGTACTTATTTCTTTCTCGCGCGCTCGGTTGGTTCATGAGGTGTAATATATACGCGGCAAATATGTGTACATTCTTGTTTTACAGATAGCACCACTGATCTCTATTATAGTAGGCTGGATCGCGGACCGCGGCTTCGGCAGCTGGGGTCAAGTGTCGCCACCGGCGACCATTGATTGACACCAGCCAATGCATGGGACTCTATGGGAGGAACGAGAAAAAGTGCCGTTTCCCCCGTTTCTAAGTTGTTGTCGGCACTGAAACTTTTTGAATACTTTTCGATAAGCCCGTCAAATAGCTTGCGTACAAAGATTAAAACTGGCAGTGGTCAAGAGTGACTCTGCTGTAGTGCAGCTCAATGAGGCAAGAGTTACCTAGAGTTACCGCGGAGTCGGTGGCGGTTTCGTTGAGTTAGGTTTAGCAGACGACAAGCTCGAAGGCTCTGCTACGCGGAATTCGCTCACTCCCGGAAAGCGGCTGTCGAGATGGAACTTCTTTGTCATTCACCAACTTCTAGGCTTCCCCGAGGACGGTCTCATTGACGGCAAGTACCTTTGTTTACTCCACTACGAGAGCAGGCTTGCCGGCTCAGCCGTACGTGCTGCGGTACGTTTGATTTTTTTCATCGGCGTTCGAACGTTTGACAAATGCCGATTCGATCTCCAAACAACCGACATAAGGATCGACGCACACCATAAAATACTAGTCTCCGAGCACAGCGTACATGCTTCAATATTTTTACTTTTGTGCGTTTCTCCCATAGACTTGTGTGTATTGCCTGGTGTCGAGCAACGGCCGCCGGTGGCGACACCGGCGGGCTCCCGATCCGCGATCCAGCCTACTACAATAAAGATCAGTGGATAGCGCCATAAATACAATCCAGCTGCTCAAGATTTCCTCTTCGGAAAGTCAGATAAGCACGCGCCAAATAATACACGGACACTTTTGCTCGAGGATAACGTTCTGGGGCATTTCTGAAGAAGTGAAAAGAGAGCGCGTGCGCCTAGCTTTGATCGGCGCTCAGCGTGTACCGGCGGTTGGGCATCAAGGGAAGGGTGCGCTCATGTGCGCTTTGCTCAGCGTGATGATATATCTGGCTATTTTGTTCCGAACGCTTACTTTTCGCTCTGAAGCGCGTGAAAGAGAGTGTCCCTGCACGCACTCGTGCCTCTAACTGCGCTGCAGCGACATTATGGTTTCGACGGTTTCTTTGTATTTCCCCTGTGAGCGCGCGCTGTCGGCATCGGTGACTAGAAAGGATGGCATCGCCCTAAACAGAAAGGCATTGAGGTACCCTGCCATGTACATAGCTCCTTGACTTCATAGCCTTAAAATGTTGTCCCTGAGTATAAAAACAAATTAGTCGTTAGTTGTCTGGAGAGCAAGCGTTTAGTCTAGCCGGGTGTGGAGACATTGTTTCCCACTAGACGAGAAAGTGAGCCATTGCGCTACGACTGCCAGTCTAGGTTTTTAACTTGCATCACGCAGTAGTGATTATCGACCACATGCCGTCACGATGCTCACCTAAATCGAAATGGGCAGGTGTGAGGACCTGCGTATAAAATAATTTTTGCAAAAAACATTCTAAATGTTTTGTAGCAGGAAAAAGCTCTTTGAATCCACTCTTTAGCAGAACCCGCCCGAAGGCGGACAATTCTTTCGGGCCTGTAGTTCGATGAAGCCGCAAAGGCTAGTGCGTTTTCAGATCACATCAGTTTGTCATTTCTGTTTTAGGTGGCATTATCCATTTCTAAAACTCAAGACGTCTCGTCTTGTGTTTTTCCCCTCTTTGGAGCCTCCGTCTTAGGTTTTAGAAATGTTTCACTTTAACCATCCCGCCTGCCTTACTACGCTATCCTCTAGGTGCCATTGCCGTGAAACTTGAAAAGTCGCTGTGCGCGAAGTATTTGATGGCTTTGCATTATTTTTGGGAATCTTCATCTTCCGCACCCATCAGACGACTAACAATATGGTGAACAAAATTATGTAAATGAAAACACCCTCATGTGTGGACGTGCTTGTTCCCACGCTCTCGCGCAAACCCTGACATCTCGCCCATCATCTGGTGCCTCCTTGTTTTTGTCTCTTAGTGGACGGAGGGCTTACATCTTGCTCTCGGTGAATAAGGAATTCTTGAAACGGCTTGCCTCTTGTTCAGTCCATATTTGATTTCGGCGAGCCCGCTGCCCAAATCCGCAGAAGTACATGAAGAAAGCCACGACAAACCGGACAGGAACGCCGCGCGGTTCGTAACCCGAAACCTCCGCTCCTCGCGGGCGGAGACACTCCCACGTGCCATTGACCCTGATGTCTAACATCAGAACCGTCGACGCTGTCGCTCAGTCACTCACGCTCTTTCACGACTTGTACGCTTCAAGGAACGAAGACAAAAAAACAAAAACAAAATGCCGCTTCCCGACTACGCTTATCATTGCAAATCTCGCCTTCCTGGAGATTGGGAGTTTGCCTCTCTACACCTCATCCGTTGCGTTGTATGTGTCGGGCTGCGCTACAGTGGGAGCTTAGGCGCTTAGCTTCCCAGAAGTTTAGGCACGAAAACTCGTATGGGGCTTCGGTGCAATCATCGGAGCCCCACGAACGGCTTCTGCGAAAGCGTTAGAATGCGGCTCTTTTTGCTTGAGTTCTTTCGGCTAGCCGATGAATTCGCAAAGTGTGGCTGACTGCCCTTCCCTGCTCTTTCTTACCCTTGAAGCGCTTGTTTTCCTCGGGAATGGGAGAGAGTTGCCTCTGTCTTGTTCCCCTCAGAGTCTTGTCCTGACAAGTTTCCGTCGTGCCCACCACATTGGTGATCGCGCGTTGATTTATAAGACGCTCAGGGCCTGTGTTGTGGACCTGCATTTGGGATTGTGTATTTCCCGATCACAGTACTAGAGGTTCCAAGGTTCTCAGAGCTTACTGCGACTGCTGGCTTCTGCTCAAAGACGTCGTCCAGTTGTCAGATCGTTCTCAGCTGCTGATACCGCAGATACGGTGAGTATTCTTTTCTAATATGCGAGAATATTGATGTCATTTTCGGCATTTAATATTCGCTTCGAATATCATCTGTTCCCTGCCACGTGAGAACTGATAATTATTAACTTAACTGACAATAAAAGTATCTACCAAATGAGTTCGGGGGAGCTACTCGGCAGTTGCGGATCTACCAGATTAATATAGATGACTGAGGCAATCTAGGACAGCAACATGGATTTGTAAAAAAATAGTGTAAGCGAAATGTTTTTATAAATATGTTACTAGATACTGTAAACGACTTATTTTTCGCGGGCTCAATATTTCGCGATTTAGGTCAAAGCTGAAGTTTTGGAATAACTCACGTATTATAATCCTCGAGGCGCGGTGGAATCTCAATATAGAGTCCACCGCGCGGGACGTATTTTTCCCAAATCGTACGCGATTCGCGCGCGAAAATTAAGTCATTTACAGTATATATTCGTTCTTCTGGCATTTGAACCGTTTTTTTCCGACGATTACATCAGTCGATTTGTTAAAAAAAAAAAAGAGGTAACCCGTACGTTAACGTTAAAAGGAAGATATCTTCTGGATCCTATCTGGTTCCCATTCAAATTCAGTATTCGGTGCCTGATGTACTGAAGACAATCTCTATACCACAATCGACATTTGTTGTAGCCTTCAAATTGCTTTCACTTCGAAGAAAAATACAGAGCTAATAGACGCAACTCATGACATTCAGAGTAAAATGTGCGCAATCATAAATGTGAATAACAGTGAAGACGTACAACATTTGAACACTGTTTCCTTTTTCGAATAAGGTACCAAACTAGTTTATTGATACGGTATCAAGCTAGTGTTATCAACACTTGTGTTTGCATTTACTAGTTTATTGATACGGTATCAAGCTAGTGTTATCAATACTTGTGTGTGCATTTACTTTGAAACTAAGACCGCTTTGTGCTTTCTGGTGTCTACAGAATCGTTGATCACAGAAAACTCAAAGCCTTAAGGCGAACCTACGATGCTTCAAACTCGGGGGGTCACCCCTGCGTACTTTGTGATGACGTGCCTGTGTCCTGGGGTATGGTTACTTTCCTGCAACTCTCTCTTCTCTCCCATCTCTGGAGGTGAGTTGTCGTCTTCCAGATTTATTTTGTGCGCTCTTGCTGAACGTTTACTGTCAATAGTTGCACCTCTCCAGGGGTTTCGCTGGCCACGTTTCTAATCTGTATAGTTTAGTACCGGACTCAATATTTCTAAATTGTTTGCTTAGGTTCACTCCTTCTTGACGACAAAGAAACAAACAGCCGGATTAAGGCTATCAGGACGTCGATTAAAATGCCATGAAGTGATATAAGATTTCGTCAGTTGACAAAAGTTGACAGGTTCGTTTATAAATATAATTAACTGAAGCGAGATAAGAGTAATTCCAAATACGAATTATTAATTACAAAAATGTAACCATTCTCAAATATTTGGCTTGGAGCACGTGGAGCGAAAGCTCATGCTTCAAAACCTAGAAGTCCCGGGCTCAGCCCCACCCCTGCCCGGTTTGATTTGCGTGATAATTGTACCGGTGTGAGTTCGTTCATCAGTACTGTATATGATGCACGTCAAAGACCTCAGACAAGCGGTTGGACTGCAGTGACTAAATTTATCATCTGCGATGGAGACGACAGACGTCCCTTGTGGCAAACTAGCTTCCAGCTGTGTAAACTTCCATAATACTTGTTTACCAATTATCTCTCTCTCTCTCTCTCTATATATATATATATATATAGTAACTGCGGCGTGCATGTTCCGTAAGAAGCCATGCATTTTATAGCATTCACTTAAGCCATGACACGTCTTGCCCATTATGGACTCAGACATGCCCAAGGACTTCAGCCTGGAAGTTGGAAAACCGTTGGCTTTGAGCTGCACCGTGAAGCCTGCCAAATTCTCCCTGGGCAAGAACCGGACGTACGAGGCCAGTGGAAGCAAGCTAGCGCTGAAATTCAACGGCAGCTATGTACCCCAAGACAAGCTGATCTACGAGGGCTCGTCAGTTCTGCTGCGCAAGGAGGAAGCCGAGTTGAACGACTCTGGAAGCTACTACTGCATGCTCAAGTTCCCCGATCACGCCTTTCACGTCTGCGCAACCCAGGTCACCGTTGGAGGTAGGTCACTGTTGCGGTTCCTGGTCTTTACCAATAGGCCACTCAAAGCAGTCAAGGCCCCTGCACTAGAAGTTTGACGTCATCGTGGTGATATCGAGCGCAGACACATATTGGAATTTGGACACGACTGCTCTGTCAGCGTTCGGCTAGGCCTCATGTCCAGCGGCGTCGGACTCTGGCTCAATCGCTAAGTGTGCGCAACGATATGAGGGGCTTAGAGCGATAAACTGGCAGCTGATCAGCTGCCTGTTTATCGCTTGAATTATATGCAACATGACGGCGGTTAATTGGGGGTCACTTTCAAAAGTGACCCCCAATTGTCCGCCGCCATGTTGCACATTTTGACCACTAGACACGCGACCTTGTGGTTTTACCTCTAGATTTCAACGAAGTACCGCACACAAATGATTGCTTCTTCATCTTTAATAACAGTACTGACGAGATAAATTATGTTCCGTTTGTTTTAAGTCCAACATGTGCTTTTACGACAAAATTAGGGTAGCTTCGCAATGCCTCCGCTAGATGCCGCCAGCCGTGGTGCTGTATATTGGGTTTACCACTTTATCGCTCTAAGCCACTCTACCTCGTTGAGTTGGCAGCATACCCGAGCATGATGGTGTTATGTGAAGGTAGACGAGGCTGTTCACAGGTTTCGAATATTCTTGGTGGTGTTACCTCTACGCGACATTTGTCAGCCTTTGTTGTTGCTTCACGTATGGCGTAATTTTGTGCAGAGCTGCCGTTGCCCGTGGAAGACTTCAAGTGCATCAGCTACCATTACAAGAACCTGACGTGTTCATGGAGAAATCCGGACTCTAATATTAGATCCAGCTATGTCCTCAGTGCAATATTCGGGCCAATCGGGTACGTAGGTGTTGCAATGCGCGTTACTTTGTGGGAAAAAACAACAACAACTAATATTTTGGGTCGATTCAATTTTTAATAATTCCGAAGGAATTCTTTATTGTACTCCCAGAGGTTCTTTGTGCAATCCTTACCACACGCTTTCTAGACTTTGCAAACTTTTCAATGTCAATTTGGAAGTATATCCTCCGCAAGAAAAATTTCTTTCCATGGAGATACTTTTTGTTTTATTGAGATTTCTGGTTTTGTTGAGATAGTTCCAGGCCTAATTATAGGGCGAACTCATTTCATAATAAAATAGTACTCGGTGCTTCTTTTGAATGACTGTGGAAACTGACGCGTTCTTATTACAGGAAGTGCCATGGTTAGGCAATAAAAATAGATTTCTGTCTAATGCCATCACCTATACGTAGAGGTTTTGTGATACGAGGTTATCGGTAAGGAGAGTACACATTTTTAAAGAACCGTGAAAATGGCCATTGGTACACTCTACCCGAAGGTGTAGAGGTGTGGAAAGTAACGCTGCTGAATGTCCGCAGCCGTCAAAGAATATACTATACGAGACATTTCCTTCTTCTCAGTCACCTCTTTTGAGATTCATTACCGTCTTCTAGAACAGTTTAAATGTATACCCGCGGTGTGCCTATAGACGCCCTACATAGAACTATTCACGTTTACCAAAGGTCATGGATTGAATATGTTACGGTCACCGACAGATTAAGCTTATCTGTCAGTAAGTATACTGTATACAGCCCATAACGCTCTGGTCACTGGACTGGTATCATCTGTGTTTCATATTTTACAGGTCACACCAGGGGTCGCCCCGCGAATGCCCCAAAGCGAAAGAATTGCGGACGCCGTCGTCTTGCACTTGGAACTTGAGCTCCACACCGGTTTACCGAAAGGAAGCCCCGAGGTTTCGTTTCGTTCTGACCGGCAGGAACGAGCTTGGCTCGAAGAACTGGACTTACAGCTACGACCACTTGTCAATTCGTAAGAGTTCCATTCGTAATGTCTTTATTTTTTTTAAAATCTTGCACGTGTTGTTTATTCCCGGTAAACAATTGTAATTTATTTTTTAAAAATGTGAATTTATGATTAAACCCACGGAATCCTTAAGATATATAGTCAGCTAACGGTAAATGAAGCCCATGGTCTGGCGTTTGGCGTTCGAACGCCATACCCTGCGCGAGTAGCAGACGACGCTCTTGTTTGCTCTGATTGGAGGGCGGGCAGTGAGTAGAGACTCCCCACTTTAAGGTCGACCGTAGCTGACGGTACGATTCGACGGGACCAAACGAGAGTTTTAAGCAGCCGTTTTCGCACATCCGATACGATACGAACTGCGCATGCGCGAATCTTCCGCGATAGCATATATGTGCAGTTCGTACCGGAGGGCCCATAGTATACCGTATCGAACGTGCACAAACGGTTCCCTAAAACTCTCCGGTAGCGTCCTTCTAAGCAGGGCTTAGTGCTCTAATGTCGCTGCACGCTTTTATCTCATTTCCTTTAGTTATTTTTTGTTTTTTTTTGTTCTGCATGGAGTCGGTAAGCCATTTTTCAGAAACAACTGAAAGCACCAAACATATGCGAAATTCTTTACGTCAGAACTGAAAAAAGAAGTTGTACTTCCTCTTGTTTATTTTAATTTTCAGTGAAGCTTTCCGAGCCGAGAGACTTCAAGAGCATAGCTGTAACAAAACGCGGCGTTACAATCCGCTGGAAGGCTCCTGTGGAGCGGATGGAGAATCCAAAGCTGGAAGTAGCCTACGAAATCGGTTACTTATCTCAGTACGAGCAAGAGTGGAAGGTAAGCTTACGTTTAGACATAGTTTCTCTTTCTCTCCCTCTCTGTGTGTGTGTGTGTGTGTGGGCTGTCTGGTCAAACGGGGTAGTAGAGTGCAGGTATCCTACGTTCATGGGCTTTAATAAAAAGCGTGTTAATCTGACCTTATGTCAGAATGAATGAAGACATTGTTAAATAACAGAAATGACGCACATATTTTTATATTAGGATACATCACTTTGCTTTAAAGTTGGCTTAATATTGTCTTGCTGTAATTTCCAAGGCGTGTTCCAGCTTGATATATCTGTGAGAAACTCTGAACTTAATTTTCATGTTGACGTTAATTGAACACATTTCGTAAATTTCTTAAAGCAATATTTTTCGTAGATTCTACCGGGAAAATCCATGCTAAAGCTCGTGTTGTGCTTAGAATTGTCGGTTTTGTGATTGATACCGTGTTTAAATCACCAGGGTAAATAAGCCCGGTTGCACTAAAAAGCCCCTTCAGATCTGGGGGGCACGTTTAATGCATGTATCCGTTACAGGAGGACTCACGTCGCTCGCTTTGTCTTATGTCTAGGAGCTACATATTTTGAACAAGACGTCGGTCATGGTGCAGGGACTCGAACCATACACCAACTACACTTTTCGACTCCGAGCAAGAGCTTCTAAATCAGCCATTCCTGAACCTTGGACGGGCGCCATTTACATGGTGAAAGAGACTCTTCCTGATGGTGAGTGGTATTAACTCAAGCCGGACATATGGCCTGTGCATTTTCAACTGAAGTCAGAGCATTATGAAGTGTTTTGTGAGGCGAATCAAAGCTTTGGATGGAGGATGCTTCACTAGCAAAATACTTCCGAGTTTTTTCAGAATCTCACGCAAACATAATTAATTATCTTCATCGCTTGGTAGCAAGAAATGTTTAAGATGTGACCTGCTTGTACTTAAATCCTGGTGTTGTTAACTTCACCGATAGACAATATGAAAGAACGACCGAGTAGCCTTTCGTCTGCAGTTAATTATTGAATGCAAGCACGTGTCATTTTATCAGTAGCCTTTGCTTAGTGTATTTTTTGTTTTGGAAATGTAGTTCCCTATGGACCACCCAAGATCTCCCCGTGCGGTTTTAAAGTTCAGAACTACCAAAGTAAGAGAAGCATCACACTCAATTTTGCGGTAGGTTGCCCCGTTTTCTTTTACCATACGACATATTTCTTGTTGCAATACACAGTAATCGGAATGGGGCAAGTAACATTTTATACGCGTTCTTTTTATATATAGGCCATTTCGAAAAAGCAGTGGTCCGGCATAACGTTGAAGTACCTAGTGGAATGCTGCGAGGAAATGTCCCCAGAAGAACAATGCGAGAACAAGACCACTCAGGTGCCGACCGCAACCTTCGATGATCTTCGTCAAAGCACTGCGTACAATTTCCGGTTATGGTCCCTCAATGAGCACGGGATTTCTAAGAACCATTCCAACATCCGCGTCGGCAAGCACGATGATTGTGAGTAAACTTCCTTTGCTTCCTCTAGCTGCTACGGTCTCGACTAGGCTTGTGCGAATATTCGGTTGTTATATTTGGTCAAGTATAGGCTATTCAAAAATCGCTTCGATTCGAATACTAATCTTAGGAAAATTCGAAGTATTCGGTACAAACGATTAACGTCGCTGGAGGTAATTTTTTTTTTACACCTGCGGGGGCAGAAGTTGCGCCGCATTTCGTGTTTTCATAATAACGGCGAACGCCAGACATGCCGATGTTACGCGTTTCCACGATTGCAACGCAACCCCGATTGTAAGACGCAGCTATATTTAGTGCTGAAATATTTGGAAAATAACTTGACGCGAACATACCTTATTTGTAACTACCAGAAGAGCTTGTGAAACTACCTAGATTTTTTTTTCTATTTTCATGCAAAGAAATAAACAGTTGGCCTGATTAATGAATGTGAAGAAATCACATGCCTGACTAATGAAGTTATTAACATTTGTTTTAACACCTTCTCTGTTCGAACCATTCGCTTCGATATTATTCGATGCAATTCACTATTCGCTTCTAAATTATTCGATGCAATTTACAATTTACTTCGTATTCGCTTCGAATAAAAAAATAATACTATTCCCACAAGCCTAGTCTCGACTGATGCGCGCGAGTTTCCCATATCAGTTTTGGAAGAGCTGATGGTGTTTGGTAGCCTACAGCCAACCGCAAGACTGCTAGGGAGCATGCAGCGTTAACTTTTTGCATTCGCGGTAGCAAAGAAGCCGGGACTTACGAACTATAAAATTTTCAAGATGTAAACAACTTCTTACCTCGTCAAAGCAAACCTCAACAACCCTTATTGATCAACATGACGAGAAATATTGGGTTTGTTTGGGCCGTACATTTAGAACTACGGTACTCCTATAGTACCATAGTTCGCCATTTGCCTGGATGACGCGTTGAGAGCAAATATCTGCACGCATCTGCCTTCAACTCTTTCTTACGCGTTCCCACATGCGTGGGTGACCTTCACATAAGCCGAACTAACAAATAAAGAAGCTTGTTTGCGTTGCTCCTTACGTCGGAGTAATGATGTCTCTCGTCACCAAATACTTCCTTGATTCTTTCTGTCGTCTACCTAATTAATGGCGTATTTCCGTTGCAGTGATGAGTGCCCCACAAGACATCAAAGTGATGGCTCTTTCATCGGGAGAATACGAGGTGTCTTGGAGACCATCAACGAGTCCCTCTGCCTCTTGGTTTTACTCGAACGACTCCTCCGCTCCGTCAAAAACGGAAGAAGCAGGATATGGTTCGGAGGAGGCACCACCTCAAGGATACACAGTCTTTTGGTGTCCACGCATGCTTCCGTGGTTCTACGGCTGCGACCAATCTCTCGAATGGCGCAGAGTGCCTCCCAATGTAACGTCAACTGTACTTGAACTGGAGCCAGGCAAGTTGTACCAGTTCGCGGTGGCCGCCCAGAGCAAGCCCAAGACATCCGAGATGGCGTGGACGTCGTGCGTCGTCCCCGTTTCGAAAGGCGAGTGTCTTGGGACAATCAGGGCGACTTCATGTGCGCTTTGCTAGGGTGGTGCCACCCTTTGTAATACCACTCGCCGACACACCAGCAGCCATTTTGTTCCTCGGCGATAATCCGTGGGGCTTATAACCCGCCGGGAAACAAGCACCTTATCTCACAAGTTCGGAGCAGCGTTGGGGAACCCACGGAGGGAGGATTAGCATTTCCCCCCTCGGATGGGGGGACCGATGGACACAAAGGCCACTTTCCGGCGCACGGGAAACGCACGGGGAAACAATGAGGAACAAAATGGCGGCGGGGGAAAGGGAAACAGGCAGTTGGCATCACTCTATGTGAAGCGCACATGAAGGCACCCTAGGGACAATAGGGAATTGTAGTAGACCGTTCCCGCAGCCCGCTAAGCACCCAGATAGCGCTCCGTAATCCGCCACAAGACCTTGAACTATGCAGAGAAGGCTGGTGGCGCGCATGCGCAGCAGCGGCGTTTTCTTCAGGGATACCGTAGCGGAAGAGAAAAACGGTCTATTACAACTCCCTAATAATGAGAGAGGGAGTAGCGGTCGCCGCTAGAACGGCAGCGAATGTCTATTTTTTTTATCAGTTTTTAAAGAAAGAAAGAGATAGGGCAAGATAGAAAATTGGGCGAATTGCCAAACAGTATAGACCTTATCTGTGTACTCTCGTCCCCAGCCACCTAATAGGCGTATCCGGTATGGGCGATGAAAAAGAATCCTACGTTTCAATCTGCAAATAGTAAAAAAATAAAGCGGAGGCAAAACGAGAAAGTGTGACACTTACGCTTATATCCTAAATGCCTTCTATTGGCGTGGCAAACGCAAAACAATGTTTCGCGCATACTGGAAGTGACGTCAATTCAAGATGGCGGCGCACTTGCAGAAAAGGTCTATACATAATGTCTACTGTTTTCGAATTACTGTCGTACCTTTTCTTTTTTATTGTCTTCGTTCTTGTGTTCCATATTTTTTCCCATTATGTCAACAACGAGAGTTCCTCACTCTCGAGAGGGTAGCAAAACAAAAGTCAAATATTTCTTTCTTTCAGTCAGATGCAGCCATAACTTTCTAGTTACATTCCTAAAGCATTATTTGTCTGCCTCTGACTCCCCACTCTGTTTGATAAAACGTGTCTAACACAACCAGATGCTTAGCCTATTAGTAGGGTCCTTCGATTTTGTGTAAAATCCAATATTTCCCGGTATTCGCACCCCGAACGTGTTTCTTAAAAATGAGTTAAACCCAATTTTCTCTACCGAATTCGGAACTCGAATTTAAAGGCCCGTTCAGACCCTTGCGACCGACGTCGACCGAGAGAGACCAGACCGGTTTTTAAGCCTTTTGCGACTTCTTAAGACCGGATGCAATGCAGCGGAGCTGGTCCTAAGAAGTCGCAAGAGGCTTAAAAACCGGTCTGGTCTCTCTCAGTCTAACTAGGTCGCAAGAGTGTGAACGGGCCTTAAGAGTTTTCGTAATTTCTTTGCTCCGAAATGATTGAAAAGGGCTTTTAAGCTATAGCAGATGCGCTAGCTTGAGACCTTTGGAACGAATCTAGATTCGGTTAGTTTCGGTGAACTGCAATGACATAGAACGAGGCCAAAAATGTCGCTTTTGTGTCGATTGCAACCTATCCTTTGCCCTCCCTCTCTTTCCAATTTAAAAAGAAAAAGAAGAGAAAGACGAAAACCTATTTTTAAATCTTTGTTTAGAAAAACAAAACAACAGCAGATGTTTATTTCCTATCGCACTTAAGTGATATCAATGTGCTTGGAAAATGTACGCGTAAGATGTGATGAAGGTCCTGAAGGTTCCTCATCTTTCAGGTATGCCCCCAAACCAGGCAGAAAAAAGATGGATACAGCGATGCTGACGATGCATGACATTATCTAAGCACCAAGAATTATAATAAAACCGATAGCCAAAATTAACTCTTATTTCATGTTCCAAACTCTCTTCTGTGCTTCATCGACTTTTTTCTTTTTCTAAAAGAAAATAGCATTTCATATATTGAAACATATTAATTTTCTTTCTTATTAATTTAGCTTATATCTCTCTAAACACAACCTGAAAACCCAAATTCCAGAATAATTTGTTGAAAACCATGATTTCTCTTCAATTACCAGCTTGGAACAAAGTGTCCGATTTGTATCCCCCCTCGCCCCATTTAAAAATACACATTAAACCCAAAAATGAAGTACCCTGCCCATTAGTGGTCCCCCCCCCCCCCCTCCCCCAATCATGGAAAAAGACTTGTAAGCTATGGCATTGCGTCATAAAATACTCAGCCTGCTACCGCTGTTCACGTTTGCGCGTTACGATATTCAAGCCCACACCATGCGAGTACAAAGGCCAACAAAGATGCCTATACACCAACACGCTGTTACCAACAGGCCCGCGTTTGAAACGCGGGGCCAGGACTATACGGAGCGCAAGTTCGTCTGCTTCTTGCGCAGGGGTTGCGGTGACGTCAGAATGCCGTGCTCCAATTGGCTGGATTGGAAGGACAGTGGGTATAGACCTCAAGGAAGCTAGGATTGAGGTCGTATACCCACTATCCTTCCTATCGGAAGTAATAAGAGATCGGCGTTCTGGACGCCACCGCAACCTCTGCGCAAAAAGCCGACGAACTTGCGTCCCGCATTGCGGTCACGTTATTTGCTTCGTGCTTCGTTCTTCGGGGTTTTTGTCGGCCATTGCCGCAGTACCATTGGATGTGGAGCGTAAATATCCTCGGAACTCGCCATTCCTTTCGCTTCTTAAGATGTCAGTCGCAGTTTCTCTCCTTACCTGATGGGCGGGGGCCTCCCCTTCTTTCTCCATGCGCAGAGTTGGGGAAGATAAATCGGGTTTCATTGGAGAGGGACGGCGCCCATTCGCTGCGCATGCGCTGGCAGCTGGAATGCAGCGCCCTCAAGACTCTCGTGGAGAGGTACCAGATCGAGGTCTGTACCGTCACTCGCAAGTACCGCAACATGGCTCTTCGCGATGCGGCTGGTGAGCATGCTTTTACGTCCTTGAGTAGGAGGCTGTTCAACTCGGCGTTTATTTTTTCAATAACGCCTAATGGCAATCGACGAGCTCACATTCTAAGTAAACAATGGCTTTTGTTTAAGTGGCCTGTTGACGTAGCCCCCAAGTTAAGATATATTAAAGTATCTCGTTCGTCTAGGTTAGGGGTCTCAAACTGATTTGAGTGTATGCGGGCCAGATAGCTCACTCTTAAGGCCAATCAGGGGGTGGGCATGCGTTGTTATTTTGGGGACATAAATAAACAAACAAACAGCATTGCCGTTTTACGTTGCGAAGCTGCGCCGACTGTCCCAGCGACACCCCACATATTTTATAGACAAGGAAGTTTGTGCTTTATTCTTCTTTTTGTAAGCTCACCGTCTTGCCTTCTTTAGCGCCCATCTGCATGCATATTCGACTACTTTGGGCCCACAACTGATGTTATAAGAAGATTTAAAACACCACCACACCACAGTACTGGCAGTTTTCAATAGAAGTAAAGCAAGGACACTGTCGTTCCCCTGTCACACAATTTACTCGACTCAAGAAGCAATGAAAAAAAATCTTCATACGGAAGTTTTTACTTTCCTGACAACTTTTAGAGCAGCAGTATATTTAAATACTTTCATTTTAAAGGCATTGTCTGACAGCTAGAAGCCCAAGCTCATAGCTTTAACTTTAGCAGTTGCTCCTGCTGCGAAAGATTGTGCAGTAAAGGTGCCTCCTTGAGCAAAATGAACGCATATTTCGCCTAGCAGTAGTGTTGCCATTCCGGTTGATTTACATGAGAAAGGGCTGAGAAGCCAATATTTAGACCAAGCGATACCCCGTCCAAAAGAAAGCAGGATAGTGCAAACTGCGTGAACGTTATATGACCAGAACTCACTTTCGAGCGGAAATGAACATTATTTATGGCACATTTTGTCACCCGAGGCCTGGGAACGAGGGCTCGCAGAAGCGGGCTTGCGGGTTTGGTCTGGGTACTTCAAACACATCTCACAAAACGCATCGGACGTTCCCGTGTACGTTTTGACCACTCGTTCACCGTTTGCCACTTCGATTCTGCCCTTATATGCGTTTATTCAGGCGTGTTCTAAACTCTGAGGATTGCTATAGTGTATTCTATACCAGTGTAACACTATGTTTTAGAGGATTGTGCGGGCATGATCTGGAAAATTGCCAAATCTGCGCCTCTCTGAGCAGCGCGCCACAAGCGAAAAAGCCAACCTATGTACGCTGCGTCCCACAATGCAATTGCAAAAAAAAAAAAAAAAAATAGTGTGTCGAACAACACAAAAACGTGCTCATGAATACCGAATTTCAAGCTAAAACGCACTGCACGCTCAAAGCTTGTTCACACATTTTGCCTTTGAGTGTGATCGACCGTGTTGCGATCACTAGTGACCCTTTACGAGGAGGGAACACAATGGCGCCATTTATAGGCTGAAACACTTCAGATCTGCGTATATTTCTACGCATCATTCTTTCACCCTATATACTTGAAATAATTTTAAAAATGTTAATAAAGCGACAATTCGTCATAAATAGCGCGTAGATGTTACCTCTCGAATGCTGCAAGGGCTTCTTCAACCTAACTATCGACCAACAGACCGTTCATAAACAAGTCCGCGTTCGCCCACACCAGGTGTGAGCGTTGCATGTGCGCAGAAACCAGATTAGCCCGAGAGAAAGCCTCTGCGCATGCGCAGTGCCGACAGCAGCACCACCGCAGTGGTGTGACGTCAGAGGGTTGAGTTGGTCTATACGCAGGTCGGAGGTGTTTCGAGGACTACCCGACAGATGGTGCCAGTTACAGGTGGTTACAACGTAGTTGATCACACTCAAAATCCAATAAGTGGACCAGCTTTGTTAGAAAGTCAAGACGCACACCCCGATGTTGTCAGCGGCCCCTCCCCGTCTTTCTTACGTCTTCGTAGATGCCAGAACACAATTCGACTAGGGCAAACTTTTTTGTCTTCAGGGTGCATGTACAGCAAGTACGACATCAACAGTTGCAAGGCCTACAACGTCACCAACGCGGACGCCGAGGAACAGCTCCTGGGAGGCTTGGACACCGATTCGGTGCACAGGGCCGTGATCCGTGCGCTCTCCAACGGAAGACTCACGGAGGACAGTCCGGCTCAGTGCGCCAGCACGTCCAACACAGTCTGTTCGGTGTTAGAACACTACCGTGAAGTAGAGTAGGCGCACAGTATCATCCCTTCTTTTGAATCATAACAATCCGCATACTATATGGTCTCCGACGGAGTGCGGATGTCGTCAACGTGGGACTGAATGCCCTGTCAAGACGTGTTATCGAGGTGTCTGCACCAGTTCAAGCATTAACTACGCCCAGCACACACGCTCGTATCAGAAAGTACATACATAAGGAAATCTACAACCACTAAGGAAACTGCGCCTCAGATTAAGGAGCCTCCAGCTACGGATGGATCGCTGGATGAATGCTAATGGATGTACCCTTTATAATCGGTGGTAGCTTGTGCCACCTAGCGAAGTAACCAAAAGTGTGATTGATCCCTTCGCCCTTTTAAGCCGATTTGCTCCCCCTCTGCATTTTTGTTTATCACCAGGCAGCGTGGAATATCGCCAGGATGACCTTTGGGGGATCGGGCAAAGAAAGTGACCACCCCGATGCTTAAAATCATTGTTTATAATTATCCGGGGCTTTATTTTGAAATCACAGAAAAACGCTTTTCCCTCCTCGTGATTGGTTCAAAAGTCCACAAAAAAAAAAAAAAGGCAAAACAATATCCCCGAATCTTCCCGACACCGTACCTAGAGCTCAGAAAGCTGCATTTTCGAATCGCAACGGTCGCCGATTGCTGCACTAGGCACCGAAATGGCGGCGCCCACAAGAAGATCGGGGAATAGAGCGCCGATAATCGAAGCGTAGCTAATTTAATGGCCCTGGTGAATGCGCTTATTAACGGGGTACAGTTATTTAAGATTGCAATAAAGAAAACTTTTGTTTAAAATGTACGTCGCCTTTTCCTTCGTCTCATTTTCTTTCGGAAGTACTTTTCAAATTTTAACTAAATCGGTTTATTTCTTTCTTGGTAACAGCTCCACTACCAAGATAAATCGAGCTCAAACTTTAATATCGAATGTTAAGACGGCGGTTATTCTGAATATCATTTTTTCCAATGATCAACTGATTTTTATCAAGTGCTGGTGCTATATTTGAGAGATAAATCGACACTGATATCACCGGATAAACGAGCCGACAACCATAGCGCGCAACAAAATAAAGTGTGCCAATGACCCACTATTAAGGATATTTCTGAGTACGCGCAGGTTCTTCTCACGCAGCGGCGAAAGCAGGAACTACGGTTGACGACCGTCTCCCTCCTGTTTTGTCCGCGATCCACCCGAGTCGCGGATTAGGCAGGAGATGAAACAAAAACGGTTAAAGTGCAGGCGAGGTGGAGGATGTTTACCATGCTGCAACTTAACCCGGGACGGGTTAAGTTGAGACATATTTTCTACCGTTTGTGTCCCTTCTACGTTCAAGTTTTTATTTCACACCCCTGTCTCGGTTTAATTTGCAACGGGGCAGGAGAGGTAGCACAAGTCCCCTTGGTACTTGAGCGTTCGGTGTTTGTGTCGTTTTTAGGCAAAAAAAGATTCATTATGGTCGGTCTGGCCTCTCTTTCCTTCAAGGAAAGCGTAGGAGGTACAGAGCGCGACACTGTTAGCGCGAACAAGCGATCGCCGGTTTTTCCAGTTTTTTTTCTATGAAATCAAGGGATGTCATCCAAATTATTATTGATCTCATTTAGTTCTATAATGCAAGCGATAAAATTTCGTGCTCGCTAATACTATTTAGAAGTAAAATCCGAAAATGCGCCGATGTCGTGTTCGCGCTAACAGTGTCGCGATGTGTACCTCCCAGTGACCGAAGTTCTGACACAGCAAGCGTATTTATTTTATTTTTATTTACACGTTCGTTGCATGTCATTACCATTAGACACCACCTTTTATAGCGATAGGCGACTTCCCTATAGACACACTGCACAGCAACTCGCGTCTTACACGTCACTCCGTTGCAGCGACGTTTTTCAGATATTCGACATGCGACCTCGCTTTGTCCTAACTGATCGCTTGCGAGAATGCAGTCATGCTGGTTGTCATACACAGGGCGCTTGTTTGAAAACAACAATTTGGCGTGCTATTTATTGTAATCGAAGAGATTCGCGAACCTCGGCGTGTTCGGTACTCACGAATCACGAACAAAACGAGTCAGTGTTGATTGCTCGCCCTCTGCGCTCTTGTACGCGGCGATCGATGGCACAATGACTTGCGTTTTGCTGAAATCGGAAATACACTTCGAAAAAATAAGTTCATTTCGTTGACGGAAAATGCACATTGCAGCTGTGCAGAGTATTTGTCAGCGTCCCCATGCAGAGAACCTGGGTCTCAGAAATGTTAAATTCCCTTACCATTGGTTCCCGAGTGCCTATACCCGTCACACACAAAGCCACAGCTTATATAGGTACGCGTAAAAAAATGGAGTCCACCAGTGCGGTCTCTTTGTCAGAAAACTTCATCGCCATGCCAAAAATAAGCTTTGTTTACGCACAAAAAAAAAAAAAAAAAAAAGAACACGAAGAAGTGACGTTATTGAGGTTGCTGGCACCGCGCCAAGCAACAACTGCCAGAATATACAATTAAAGAAGCAATGACCCAACTTATTCACGCAGCGAATATAACCTAATACAAATTGAGAATAACAGGACATACCCCTCCCACAAAGCCTTTCACCCTTTCCACTTTAGAAGAGCGAAACGCTACAGGGGAGGAGAGTGGAGAGGAGAAACCCACCAATCACAGCGAGGAGAAAGCTTTGTGGGATGGGCTTGTCCTGTCATTCTAAACCTGCAACAGACTATATAACCAATATTTGTTGCTGGGCTAGTTGGTGCATGATGCCCAGGGAACTTGCAAACGCAAAAAGAGATGGACACAACGAAGGAAACATGGACAAGCGTTAGTTCGTGTCTCCTTCTTTGTGTCCGCCTCTCGTCGCGCTTACAAGTATTTCGACTAAACGGCGGTGAAGTTGTGAAAAGTGTCACCCCAACCACAATGGCCAAACCTTTGCCATGGCGAGATGGAATGAAATGCGTTTCTCACGCTAACGAGCGGGATTGCGTTATACGTAGGTTACTTTATGTACGGCGAGCGGATTGAATAGTTCGGTTTGAATATAGTTCAATGCGACACAACACTCCAAAGACCTACGCGATAACAAATATTCGAATTACAACTAGGTAAAAAAAAAAGGCACATCGCACAAGTCTGGTTAAGTCTTGTGCCCGCGAAGTAGCATGCTGCCGACTGAGCTACGAGCACAACTGACACGGCCATGCACTTCCGCTCCACGCAGTTGAGACCTGATGCTGGCTGCTGCTCCTGGGTAGAACTCGCCCGCGAGTTCCACAACCAGAAAAGTTCTAGATGGCCCTATTACCAGTAAGAAGCTTCTGACTTCTAATTGGGTTCTTCATTGTTAAAAAAAAGAAATAGTTCATCATGATGAACCTGGAAATGGTATGAGCACAGAACGAGTTCGAAGCATGGTTCATGTTGGCCTAACGTCCACAGCACGAACGTAATGGTTGTTTCCGTGTTTGAGTGGCTTGGCGAGTGCCGCCCATGTTGTGTAACCTCCACTAGGATAGCATCTGCACGTGTCCTTCGAATGTTCCAAGACTGGACTGCTGAGTCCCGCGTTGATGTAGTTGGGGCACTCCAAAATCGAGAAATCAAGAGGAGGGTTAAGAAATCCCTTGTCGGAGATCATGATGTCCTCGGGGGAACCATGTTGACATTCATCATCCGAGAAGATCATGTGTAGAGGAGGTTTCTGCAAGAGGGACACATCCTTGTTGAAATTCACGGTGTTTTCAGGCAAGTGGTCACGGTTTTGAGCCCTCAAGCCCACTTTCGAGTAAACGAGTGGAACATCGGATGTCGATGCCTCGCCAAATTCACTCCCAACGTTTTTGCCTTGCTGACTTAAGTTTTCTGTCTGTGATGACTTCTGACTTTCGTTGGACGGCACCACATCGTATCCTACCTTGACGTAAGCATTAGACAGTCCTTCCGTTACTGGGGGGGGCATGTTCTGTGCTTCGTGAATGCCCCCGTCGCATGGCTTCTGTAATTGCGCAGGAGATACGTCGTGTTCGGCGTCAACGTAAGCATCAGGTGCGTCTTGTGGTAATGCGGAAAATATATTTGGAACTGCACTGGAGCAGAAATCAGATGATTCTGGAAAAACTGCAGGTTGTACATCATACCCGACTTTCACGTAAGCATCGGATGCTCCTTCGAGTTCTGAAGAATCCTTCTGGTGATCGTCTTCCTTAGTTCCGTTGCTGCCGTTTTTGGTGCAAGGTGACATCTCGTAGCCTACTTTGACGTAACTTTGGTGCTTGTCTAACCCTTCGTGCGTTTTTGGAGACTGACCTTGGTGGTCCTTTGAAAAAGGAAGCGCTTCGTTGCCAACTTTAACGTATGTCTGGGACGACTCTTTGGGCTGGCTTGGTACCTCGCTGGCTACTTTCACATAAGATGGAGGAATTTCACAGGGGACAGAGAAACGTTCATTTCTCCCCCAGGGTTGTCCATTGAACCCATGATTCCATTTTTCTGTAGACCTTAGATCAACCCCCATTAAGAAGGGCGCGAACTTGCTGTAGCCGGGCGTACCATCCGTATTTAAAGGTTCTTTTACTATAGATTTTGTGTCAGGGTTGTCTAATGCAAAGGAGGAAAACAGAGAGTAGCCACGTGCCAAAGGAGGTATTTGTGCAGTTTCCTGGTCTTGAAGAGCTGAGAACTTGGAGTAGGCGTTGCCAGTGGGTTCGGAATTCTTGTCCTCCAACGAGGACACCATTGAGTATCCTGGACTAAGGGTGTCGAGTAGAGGGGTTTGCTGCGGTGTTTCATTAAAGTATTTGTCGCTCGTTGGAAGCGAACGCTCGGGTAGGACTGGAATAACAGGCCTGGTATCCTTCAGGAGACAGTCAGCTTCCGGAGGAAGGGCATTCTCGGCTTGCTCTTGTAGATTCTGAGACCGGAGAACCTTTTAGCAGATGAAAATTGAAAGCAATGAGTTTTCTCACCCATAACAAAAAGTATAAGCAATGAGTTTTCTCACCCATAACAAAAAGTATAAACAATGAGTTTTCTCACCCATAACAAAAAGTATCGCAGTCGCCATTTGTATTATGATAAAGGTAGATTATTCTAACCGTTTTAGAGCGCAGCTCTTAGGGGCCCTTTTCTGGCTTGAGCGGCGTCGGCGTAACCGCGCGGTGCATCATGGGAAATGTCCCATAATGCACCGCGCGAGCCCCCCACCGGGGTCACGTGACCTCGTGGGGGGCACGTGACCCCCTCGAGGTCACGTGACCCTTCGAAGTCACGTGACTCCCCTGAGGTCACGTGACCCCCTCCTCGAGGTCACGTGACCCCCGAGGTCACGTGACCCCCGCCGATGTCGCGTGACCCCCCGATGACGTCATCGTCACTGATGACGTCACCGGCATCCACATCGTCATCGTCATCATCACTGATGACGTCATCATCACTGATGACGTCACCGGCATCCACATCGTCATCGTCATCATCACTGATAACGTCACCGGCATCCACATCGTCATCGTCATCATCACTGATGACGTCACCGGCATCCGCATCGTCATCGTCATCATCACTGATGACGTTACCGACATCCGCATCGTCATCGTCATCATCACTGATGACGTCATCAGCGACGTCACTGATGACGTCACCGACATTCGCATCGTCATCGTCATCATCACTGGTGAAGTCATCAGTGACGTCACTAATGACGTCATCGGTACCCGCATCGTCATCGTCACTGATGACGTCATCAGTGACGTCAGTGATGACATAATCGGCATTGGGGGTCACGTGACCCCCCAAGGTCACGTGACCCCCCCTGGTTAGTTTAACTCCCCCCTCCAGTGCCCTTCCCTCCTCCTCCTCAAGAGCTGCGCTCTAATTCGGCGTTACAGGGAGTTGTAAGCGGCTTTCACTTTTTAACCTCAATAACTCGAAAGTTTCTTATCAAGCCCCGAGTGGCCTCGCATCGATTTGATATTCACTTGGCTTGCATTGCCAGTTGAATAGATTAATTAAAAAAATTGTGCAAGTTCCCCTTAATAAGTAAATTGATAAGTGGTCATATGAAGAGTATATTCACTTAAAACACAAGAATAAGAATATTTAGTAGTTTGTTTGGTAACTCCGATAACGATACCACCGACGATAGGATGCATACACAAAGCCGCCGGGGGAGTATCGGGTATGGTTATTGTAGTTATGGAAATAATCTACTGAAACACTCTAATATAGATATTTTGCACTAGATAAGTAAAAATAAACTAATACTCACGTGCGCTATTCCGTACGGGGAATTCTTGTTGTTGAGTACATACTCCCTCAGGTTGGAACGAATGCTGTCACTCTTTTTAATAGACTCCTAAAGAAATCGATACAGTACAGTTACATTTAGATACTTCTTTTAGAAAATATAAAGTTAGAAAGATAGTTTTCTTAATTGTTTTTGACAACAATGTAAGAAGCCAATAACAGGTCTCACCTTCGTGAACTCGGCAGGAATCAGAACCTTCACTGTCGTGTTCTTGTATTCCTCGATGTAGACGGATATTCTGATGTGGTAAGAGACAAAATCCCAGGTTTATAATTTACACTTATGACGAGACGCACATCAGAAAGTTCTAAAACCACAGTTTATAGACTCACCGTCTCCAAAAAATGGCGGCGACCACCGTGAGGGCCACCAACAATGCTGCGACGACAATAGCCGCAGTAGCCAACGCTGTAGGTCCTGCAAACAATAAGTGATTGTATTATTTTATTTTATTTTCCATAAGAACATCATGAAACATCTAACCACAACTAGATATTAAATGAAAATATTCCATTTCAACAATCAGAATGGCCCGTTGAAAGTACATGCTACTAATATTTCGTGGGCTCTGTGGGCTTGGATTAAGCTTGAATGCATTTATTAAAAAAACAGACATGAAAGGAACTATAGTCTATGCAGGCGAGTTATATACGGCACAAGGGATATAACACTGGGGGATAATAGTCACAATTAGTCTTAAAATCAAGAAAATGTGTTAATTAACTTTGTAGTTGGTAAAAATAAACATATGGTTTCAGTTGAAAAATTGAGTGTCATCGAAAACTACTCAACCAGTAAATTTTAGGACTCGACGCACTTGAGTAGCATGGGGTGCTTTACACTTACCACCGGTGCAACAGGCACAAAGCTGGTCGCGCGGAAAGGCGGAGGGTAATTTTGTCATTCGTGTTTTTTTGTGCTGTTATGTCACATGACCTGCCTTCACGTGCCGTCAAATCCCGTGACGTCGATTTTCCCACCGAATTTAAAGGGGAAATAGACATCATGGTGTTGAGTCGTGGGGTTACGTGACGGCATATGACGACAGATGACACAACCTGACGTCGCACAACGTCACATCACATGGTGTCAATTTCCTACTAAATTAACGGGGAATTAACGCCATGGTGTCAAGGCGTGGTGGCACCTGACACTATGACGTCAAGTGACGACAATTTCTTTGCAAACTTCAGGGGGGAAATGCATGTACTGAGAGATGGAAAACACTATGGGAAGGGGAAATTCACAAAAAAAAATATTTCATGCTTTAACAAAAAATGTCAGCAAGCCTCACCTCTTCCTTGAGTCTTGATCCTGACAGGTCGATGTTGAATGCTCATACCGTCCTCCATAATTGTCGTGATGGTCACCTGGTACGTCGTCTCCGGGTACAGGTTTCGCAGAAAGACCGTCTTTTCCGGTCCCGCAGCACCGTTGGTGCATTCTTCCAATTCAGATTCTGAACAGAAATCAGACTTTCAGCTCTCTCGCGTAATTAGTGTTTCAAAGATTGAACGTATCATTTTTTCTATTCAATTATTTGTTCTGGAAAACATACACAACGGCGTTCAAAGCCATGGGAGAGATGCAGATAGTTAGCTTGTTCTTGCATATAAAAAAGATAACGAAATTGTTAACTACCATCTATCGAGGCTTCTATAATACATTCAATTTCCTCCCTGATACGACCATTAAAGTGTCCGTTTCTTACTTAGTTTTTAGTTCTTCACGGACGCTATTCCATTGATGTGTGCAATGCGCGATGCACGGCAACTAACTTCTCTGCCTTCTGCACACTCTTTGATAAACCGCGCTTTACGATGCACATGATACTTAAAGACTGTGCTACGTAGTAGTGGCAAATAAGTAAAGATGTTTCTTCTTTCACCCCAGCCTTCGGCTCTTGCACGCTATCTCCAAATACTTTACTAGGAAGGGTACATTTCACTCCGCTCATTTGTATTACACAGTGCTACTGCAGCGCCCTGTCCTCTATTAGTGGTGCGAGCTACTCGGGTTCGAGAGAACGCATGCACATTGCGCAGTCTACGCTGTCACGCATTCGCGTTGCGCCGAAGGAGAGGGCTGCCGAGATACCGGATTCGCTGAGAGAGCAAACCGGCGCTCGATATGCCCGCGTCGATAGGAGGCGGCGGTGCCGCGGCTCATCCAGCGGTTCCAAATATGCAATACCTGTCCGCGCCAGGGCCATTGGCGTTTCGCGAAGTGAGATGCATTCCCTTCTTAAAGCATTTGGTGTCTCCGTCACTCTATCTCTTTTTCCCTCCTACTCCTTGCTGTGCTCTCTCAACAGACCCTTTTTATATGTGCGTGCCAAGTCATCCGAGCCCGCCATGGTTTGGGAAGATGCTCTGATGAAGTATTGGCCACGAAGGGCTGCGTCGGAGTTCGGCGTGAGCTGAGCTCATCTCGTAGCGAAAACGAGTAGTGCGGCAGCGTTCAGCGAGCACTTGGATCATATCACCCACTTCGTGCCTAAGGATGGATGGATGGATGTTAATGGCTATACACGTTATAAAATAGTAACGGGTGGTAGCTTGCGCCACCTAGCCAAAAATGGCAAACGCCAATGTCGCTTCACGGTTTTTCTTTGCAAAGGGTCTAAGCACATAAAAGTAGTCGAAGGGATAAAAACAAATTGTATGCTCATTGTGGGTTTGAAATCATTGTAGGTGCTCTCGGAGTGACACACATTTAGAGGAGCTGTGCAACGATTATAATGTTGAAAGAATTGTCATCTTCTGCTTTTAATATTGTTCACCTCGCCACAAATGACAGAACACACACCTCCTTTCATCGCAATGTTGCGATTCCGCCGCGTAATAGCGAGGCAAAAGTTGGAATATTCCCCGACCTGCAGCCGCGAGCGGCGGCCATGAGAAACACGCGGCGTGACGTCAATGGGGAATCTGGTAGAAAGATAGCAAGTTGTGCGAATATCTGCTCGATAAAAGGTAACTTTTCTATAAATCTTGTCGTTCCAACATATATATAAATGCGTCAAAAACTTGGTATCATCGCCAAAACTTTTATTATACGGAGTTTTAGTGGCGCCATCTATCCTAGGTCCACAAAACCGTCAGCTCTCCCTGCTACTGCGACAGCCGCCAGAAGCCGGAGAAGGAGGGGGACAGGGCCGGACGGGTATGGCCGGACCCGGACGAGACTTTCCTCCTTTCATCATATTGTTCGTGCGGCGCCCTCCAGCACGTGGTCACGCGGTCGCGAGCGGATGAGTTCTCACTGCTCACTGATGGCTCTAAAGAGAGAACTTTTCCGGAACCCCGCGCCTACCCCATCGACGTCACAGCGCACGTGAACCGGAAGACGACGTACGAGTTGAGAGGCGGTAAAAACCTGGATCTTTTTCATTTTTGTAAATAAAAACTAGAGTATCCAGGCAAAATCTGTTTTCTGAAGTTCACTTCAGAAGTGTCAGGCATCAGCTTCCACAATAATTTAAGCAAAGCCCTGAAATTGTTGCACAGCTCCTTTAACTAGATTCAGGAGCAGAATCAGACATGTATTTAAAAAGAAAACAACTCAAAATAAAGTTCATTGAAGATTAAAAAAATTCGGCTGGAGACACTTAAGACTGCTTACGTGTGGGAATGCGAAAGCTTCATAGTCCCGTTAATGAAATGTTTTCGATGGACGCAATGACATAATGTCGCAACCATACCTCGGCAAACCTCACTCATGAGGGCCCTCACTCACCCTCACTCACCCTCATCTTCACAGGTGAGGTGAGGGTGAGTGAGTTTCTGAACCAGGAAAATTCATGAGTGTGAGGGTGAGTGAGGGCCGTGAGGGCTGTGAGGGCCGTGAGGGCTGTGAGGGCCGTGAGGGCTGTGAGGGCGGTGAGGGCCGTGAGGGCCGTGAGGGCCGTGAGGGGGGTGAGGGCCGTGAGGGCCGTGAGGGCGGTGAGGGCCGTGAGGGCCGTGAGGGCGGTGAGGGCCGTGAGGGGCGTGAGGGCCGTGAGGGCGGTGAGGGGCGTGAGGGCCGTGAGGGGCGTGAGGGCCGTGAGGGCGGTGAGGGGCGTGAGGGCCGTGAGGTGTGTGAGGGCCGTGAGGGCGGTGAGTGCGTGAGGTGTGTGAGGGCCATGAGTGCGTGAGTGCGGTGAGTGCGTGAGACCCCATTCAGATCGAGCATCTTTCTCAACAATTTTGGTGTTAATGGCGGGTTGTTCTCTAGTTTTCCCTAGTTCGACACGAATTGCTGAGATTGGGTCCGGCTCGAAATAAGCAAGCAACTCGGAGCAATTTGAATGCGTTTGAAGCGGCTGCATCCAATCAGGGACGCAAAATTTTCACGTGATACCTCGTGCCGGTGATGATGACACCGAAAGACTCGGTTCTGGTTGAAATCGATCGTTTTTTTTTGGAAATAAACTGTTTCAGAAAGGTGCATTAGTATTCTTAACGAGATTTAAATGCATAAAAACACGTTTATAACGCGTAATTATGTCTAAATAGTGCAAGAAAAATAAAATTTTATGATGACGATGGCAAATTACAGCAATTGGTTGCTGCGTGTGATCGAGGGCGGCCCGTGTTGCTGGTGTTGCGACGTAAAGTTTCTGGGCGAATTTGCCCCATCTGAAGCTGGCCTGAATGGCGTGAGGGCCATCAGTGCGTGAGGGGTGTGAGGGCCGCAAGGACGGTGAGGCGCGTGAGGGCGGTGAGTGGCGTGAGGGCGGCGAGTGGCGTGAGGGCGGTGAGTGGCGTGAGGGCGGTGAGTGGCGTGAGGGCGGCGAGTGGCGTGAGGGCGGCGAGTGGCGTGAGGGCGGTGAGTGGCGTGAGGGCGGTGAGTGGCGTGAGGGCCGTGAGGGCGGTGAGGGCCGTGAGGGCGGTGAGGGCGGTGAGGGCCGTGAGGGCGGTGAGGGCAGTGAGGGCGGTGAGGGCGGTGAGTGGCGTGAGGGCTATGAGTGTGTGAGGGCCGTGAGGGCGGTGAGGGCCATGAGGGCGGTGAGGGCACTGAGGGCCGTGAGGGCGGTGAGTGGCGTGAGGGCCATGAGTGAGTGAGGGGCGTGAGGGGCGTGAGGGCCGTGAGGGCGGTGAGGGCCGTGAGGGCCGTGAGGGCCGTGAGGGGCGTGAGTGCGTGAGAGCCGTGAGGTTCAGTGAGGGTGAGTGAAGGGCTGAAGGTGAGTGTGACTGTGAGGGTGAGGGTGAGTGAGGGGCTGAAGGTGAGTGCAGCTGTGAGGGTGAGGGTGAGTGAGGGGCTTAGGTGAGTGTGGCTGTGAGTGTGAGGGTGAGTGAGGGCGACCTAAAATGCCGACCTCTGGTCGCAACGAGTGCAATGACGCACGTACTAGGCACACCATAAAGCGCGAAACACATGTACGACGAAACCGTCCGATCCGACGTCCGACCACGCAATACGACGGTCGGAGGCGAGGGTTTTCAACGCTCTCCGATGCTACGAAAACCCTCGCCCTCCAAGGTGATTCCGGATGTCCGCACGTCGGATCGGAAGGTTTCGTCGTACATGTGTTTCGCGCTTAAGACAGCCAGAACCGTGGAGCCGCCGTGGCGTCGGAGAAGCGTGCTCGTCTCGCACCCTGGAGGCCCTGACGAATCCCACCCAGACCGAAATGTACAAAACTTTATTTTCAAAGCCATTAATTTACTTTGTTTGCAGGAGCCTCCCTGAGAAACTTGACGTCAATCCGAGCATTTTTTAGGTGTTTTTACTCTTTGTGCCATCGGCCCTTTTTGGTACTATCGGTTACGCCGCCGCCGCTACCGCCGGATTTTCGCGTAATGGCAGTGCGAACGCATATAATGCGTTCGCACTGACATTGTCTTTGTTTTATAGTCACTGACAACTTCAGAATCAAAGGGCGAGGCCAGTCCGCGCGATTCGTCCTTCGATTATCTGCTCGGCTAACACCGAGGTTTCCTTGGCTGTGGAGCCATTGTAAGGCGCTCGGGGTTCGCCAGGCCTGTGTTTCTTAGGCCGTCAGGGGCTACACGATATGCAAGTTCGTGTGATGCTTGCGCACGTCGTGCGCTTGCTTTTGCTTACCCACCAAATACTCCCGCATGCTTTGGTTTCCCCCGACCTCAACCAACGACGACACGGTCCTGCCCGCCTCGTCGTCTCATATTCCCTGCGTGTTCGCCGTGTTGTCCCTTTGATTGCCGTGCCTTTTTCTCTCCGTTTTACCACGCACCAAAGACGAAGTTTCGGCACACTTGCTCGCCGTAGAGGTGTCCAAGCTCGTTTCCTACCTGGAACAGTGCTGTTGCCGAGTAAAGCTTCGTCCGAGCCACGCAGGGCGCAGAAGCGAATGATTCGACTGGCAACCAGTCCGGCGCATTTGGTGAGGAAAGTGACCTGAACGCTCGAGTCCGTGATTTCGTCGTAATGGACCCTGTCTTCGCCTCGCAGTAGGTCCTGGTACTCTGAAATATTCAAGAGGAAAAAGTAATAAAGTCTCCGTGAGCATAGTTCAAGGACAAGAAGTCCTCGAACAAGAAGTCCTCACGGACACCTTATGAAACGCAAGGCGTGACTTATCGTGTTCACGCTTCCTGCCTCATGATTACCTCTTGGGCTTTCTTATCGGTGTATGAAGGCATCTCATTGGCTCTGGAGAGATCACAAGATACACCTGGGACTTATAACGCCCCGATTCGCCCAAGTGGTCTATAACTATAGAGCTGCAGTGTTCTTTGGAGTAATTCATTATACTGTCTTTGCCAAGCCTGAGAAAATGTATTCCAAGCGATGTACATACTTCTGGAATTTAGTCGGAATAAAAGTTAAGTACTTCGGACATACTTTAATCGGAGGGCAATTCAATTGATTGTAATGTCGCTTCTTCAGTGCAGATAACTTGGTTACTTCACCGAGCGCATCGTTATTTTACGCAAAGATGCGAGTTCGCGTCAGTGTGAGCAAGGGGTTGAGATCCAAATATGCATCAACAAGTTCCTAAGGACAGGACTTATATGTTTTCTGAGAAACGAAACTCACTGCCATTAGGATGCTTATTTGTTACAAAATCATGACAACGACGAAATGCTGGACCGTCTGGTGTTGCCACCAACTTATGGTTTTATAAAAAAAAAAAAAGAACCGTATGCAGTGGCTCAAAATTGTGTTATTTATAGCACCCCTCAAATCACAAACGTTGAAACTTCGAAAACACACTTTGACCACCTGTTGCATTCATGTGAAAGCATATAGCTATAGAAAAAAAAAAGTTTATGCGGGCTACTAAGTCGGCAGAACCTGCCACAGCAGAGTCATCCAATGATTTTTTAAGCCCAACTAATTTCCCTGTCTAGGCATCCCCGCAACAAATTTAAATTAAGTCTTTTCAGTTATTACCATAAGTGCAATGTACCTTAAGCATTTGATAAGGCTGCGTAAAAAAAAAGTCACCTCGGCTGTTTGGAAGGACGCAGTCGATCCAGGTCATGGCCGACACAGCCTCGGCAGACCTTGTGGCCACGCCGTACTTGCATCGTCCTGACATGGCGCAACTGGCGGCCGACCACGCGTCTCCAGATGACTTGACCGTAGCCCAGGACACGTCATTCTCGCACGAGCCCATCTCGTCGTCGACGCCGCGGCACCAGAACAGCGTGTAGTGCAGGATCTCGTCGGACATGGTCCGCGGAGCCAGAGTGAAGGTCGGGTTCAGGCTTTTGACTTCGCTCACGTAGGCGTCTTGGACCGATGGCATCACTGCAATTTGAAAACCCAAGTAATTGTTTGGCCTTCTAGATTTTGCTCATAGCTAATGAACAGAACAGCTAGAATAGTCCCAAATATTTTATCATGGCTAGCAGCCAATGAGAACATCAGTAGCGATTGAGGTGAAGAGAAGTCAATGAAGCCAGCAAGAGCAAGTGAGTGTAAACATATCTTCAGGAGACGAACAGAGTGATCAGAAGTCAATGAAGCTATCAGGCGCAAATAACGTCGCCAGAAGCCAATGAGGTCATCAAGAGCCACCTAGCTTATCAGGAGTTACTAAGCTCCCCTGGGGCCAATGAAGTCTCAAGAAGACTTTTGCGAACTGACAAACGTACCCTCGCGGTTGGTCAACCGAGTGGTTCGGCTTATAATTGCCAGGCGTATGTGCGTTGCACCCGGGCAAGCAGCAGCAACGTATCACCGCGCCGCTTGCGACCGAACAATCAAGAGTCGAGGGCAGCACGGACACAAGTCTTCTCAACTCAAAATTCGTAACTCGAAAGCGACGCGGACGATGCAGTTAACACAGCTGCTCCTTGCAGTAAGATGAAAATGTATTAGGCAGATGGCAAGGATACCAAAAGCACTGGGGAACGAGAACCAGAAAGAACTGTTTGTCTTCTTTCAAAGTCCTTGTTCCCTGACGCTTCCAGTATTCCATGCTCATTGCGCTGGTCCTTACGGATGTGCTGCATGCAGTCACATCTCTGAACCGCCCATCCTGACTCACCGTGGTCGGAGCTCGGGAGGAGTACGTTCACGCTGCGAAGCGACCGTCCTACATCGTTCTCGGAGAAGAGCCGAAAGGTGTAGCTCTCGACGCGACTCAGGTTGAAGAGGTCGACGTGCGTCCGCTCGCCGGTCACCTTGTGCGAGGCGCACTCACCCCGGCTGCTGCACCAGTGAAGCACGTAGCTCATCCTGTCACCGTTCCAAAGGGACCTGGCCACGCTCTGCGACGCAGAGGGAATCACCAAGAACTGACTTTAGAATTGACGGCCGGGGTTCCCGACGATCCTCGTTGCTGGTCAAAGAAGGAAGTCCGCAGGGACATGCGGGAACAGCTTCCAGCGCTCAGCTCTAAGACTTCGCGTCTTTGTTCAAGAAAAACCTTCTTCCAGTTTGGATAATTTCTTGGTAACTGTGTCTAGCCTGATTTATGTTATTTTTTGTCATATAATGACGCCGTAAATGAGAAAATTCCGTACTTCACAGACTAACTTGGTCACCGATTTGTACATGCTCTTTAGGACCTCGGAAACAATGTTCAGATAGATGTAGGTTATTGGATAGGTTAAAAAACTTTCAGAATATGATATGATAAACAGCAAGAACTGAAACCTTGAAACTAACAAAATGTCTTTGATTCGGTGTTAGCAACATCTCATCTCAGTGGCATCATACGTAAATAAATTGCGCTATATCACTGACTTTGCTCTGCGCTCTTTCAACATGTAGCGCCGTCCACTTTATGCGGCAAGCAAAACCGCAAGCATATTTTTTATTTAAATCTGTTGGGGGTGTAATTCATAATGCTACCTAAAGTAAAGCTTGTACAGGATGAACGTGTAGACAATTACAATCAGGACATCTGGTCGTCTCAGTGTCACCAGTCGAGTTACATAGCAAATAGGACTTTGGAATAGAAGGGGCATGGAAAGAGGTGGTAAGGAGATATTCAAATTTGCAAATATTTTAACACGCAATATCACAAACGAAACTTTTAATTTAACCAACAGTGTAGATGCATCATTGGCAGCCGGGTATGCATTTATCGGAGTTCATGAAAATTGAGATAACCTGATAAAAAAGCCGGACTTTGCGGGTGTCTTTGAAGTCCTGGATCATAAATCCGTTTTCAGCGACCTTTGGGAGAGCGGTTGGTACTGTGCAGAGAGAAGAATAAGCAATGCAATATGAACCACGTCTCAAGATATATTGAAAAAAAGAAGAAAACTCAATAGAAAATATAATAATTGTTATATACAAAATTAGGATATCCTCATCCATACGACACATATTGTCCTTTAAAACATTTCCAGGATTTTAGTTTACTGCCATATGGATGTCCCATAGACGTCGTTCAGACGAAGTGAATACACCATTTTCTATAAGACATTTGTAAGTGCTACAAGCGTGTTGCTAAGCGACTTGAGAATGTGGGCAGCCATACATTAATTTAAATTGGCATTCTTAGTTCCTGAAGTTGTACCTAGAGGGATGCTGGGAGTTCATTGACGGGCCACTAGTAGTCTACGCTATCGATTAGGGCTGTTCAGAACTATTTACTTCTTATGTCTTCACCGACTAGAAAATGCCATTTATGGTGTTGGAAACGACATAATACTCACTCGTTTTTTTTGTTTTGCATTGCAGGGTCTCGCTGTAAAAACCCCAGAGTTCAGCACTCGCCTTGGCAAACTTCATTCGCACCGAGACATTGTACACGGTGTTTGGGATTAGCCCTCCGACCACGACTTTGTCGGAGTTGTTTATCTGTAGCGGGAAGGGATACACAAAAAATATTACATTTCAATGTTTTAATTTGCTCTGCGATGCGAACGTTTACACAATACAAAATGATTTATATCACTGAGCAGGGCGATTTAAAATAGATGTGGGCACATAGGAGGTTTTTGTTAGAATTTCTTTTTCTTGCCGATAACGTAATGTATTCGCTTTGAGCGTCCTAAGAACACAATGTTACAATGATCTGCGGTCTATTTCCTCTCAATGAGTGAAATAGCGCATTCCGAGACTGATATTAGCAATACATATACAGCTGTATATGGATTGCTAATATCAGTCTGCGCAATTTTTATTTACCTATAAAAAAATTGCGCAGATGTGAAATATCGACGTAACATCATATATAGAAATAGCAACATTATATACCGCACATAGCCCCATCTGTTTAAATACTTATACGCTCTTATATACAGGGTGATACAAGGAGACGCCAAGCTCTTTAAATCAACCGGAAAATTCGGTTTCTTAACCTATCGCGCTACGACTTTGTGCAGCGTTGCCCACAGATGGTGCATTTGTTTTGTAAAAGTTGCAGACATTTACACATTACAAGAAAAAAGTAATAAAATATCTTACTCGCTCAGAAAGTAACTAAATACGTTACTCGTTACTGATTCTCAAAAGGAGCAAGTTACTTTTCTCGTTACTTTGACGACCAAATACACAACTGCTTTTGTTTCATGGTTCATTGTTTTCTTTTCAGTAGTCGCTGCATTTAAACAGTAGATGCCTCTCGAATGTTTTTATCAGTTAGGTTTCCCCGCTTCATTGAGAATACGTCCTCGGGGAACTCCATCTACTGAGTCGCTCGAAGGAACTGTGTATTGTTGTGCTTCAGGAAGCGCTGGTGTTAATCTGGGATTCCTCTTTCTTCTTTGTTCTCTCTGCTTCGAACTTTTTAGGTTGAGAATGAGTTTTGTGTCTTCCCGCGTTGGCAACCTCCAAGTTTACATTCGGTATGTACCCGATTCTAGAAGGTTCAACCAACGAATCTTCTTGCGTTCTCTGGGTGAAGGACATTCCCAGCTGCGAGTTCGACTGACGTGTTCAGCGATACACATGGCTATATTGCCGTACTGTTTAGTTGTTCTCCGGGCTGCCCATCTGCCTTTGTCAAAATGGACGCATACTCAGGTTAGAATGAAGACGAGGCTGTTTAAACGTTGTTGTAGGCGTTACTCCTCAAAAGTAACGAAACACCGTTAGTCGTTACTTGAACTTAAAAGCAACTAAGTACGCTACTTTCCTTTTCTAAAAAAAAAGTAACTATATACGTTTCTCGTTACCGAAAGAAGTAACTAGGTAGAAATAACTCGTTACTAGTAACGCTTTACGTACATGTCTGGTAGAAAGTGAGGAAGAGGAGGTGACGAGAGCGCGCGCAGACGTCCGCACGCCGAGCTGTGGTTCGAATGATTAGAGGGTAGAGGAAAAGCTAGCTGCCTTTGTTTCAACCATAGCCTCCTCTATACCCACAAAGCCTGGCAGTTCGACGACGGAGGCACAGAGTGCCTGGTAGCACAGAGCATCAAAGAGCCATTTCTCGGGGAACCTGGACGTCGGCGCACAGCTTTTGCAGCGGCGAGGACCCGAAAAACACTTGTTCGCTCGGGAGAAGTGTGTTTCGGCGTCTCGCCGCAGCGGGGCGCCGGTCACGTGGCTCCCCTCTCATCCGTTGTGTGCCGCCCCCCTTTTCCATTCCGGCGGCCGCTTCCCGTGGCGATCTGCAGGTTTTGTAACTATATATAGGAGGCTATGTCTCTACTCACTCTTCAAGCTCGCTCAAACGGCAAACGCTGGCATTCGGCGTTCGGCGTTCAAACAGCGGGTAGAGACAAATACCCGCCGATTGTTCCAATCGGAGCTTGGCGTTCTGGTATCCCCGCATGCTCTCGCCTCCTCCTCTCCCTTAGTTTCGACCCGAATAGTGTGGTTTGACGCGCTCAAACCTGGCAGCACCCTAAGCGGTAAAAAGTTGCCTTTCGAAGTGAAATGGAAATAAGCTCCGATATCGAGTTCGCATGAACAGTGTAGCGCATGCGCACGCAGGCTTATGTCAGGCTTACCGTTAGCTCGCGCTCTTCTTTCGAGTCATATTTAAGCCGCACCTCGTACAAGATATCCGGGAACGTCGAGATTTTGGGAAAGCTCGTCCAAGAGATGCTGATTTTGTCCGTTTCTGAGTGGCATCCTAGTAAGCTCGGGGCAGGAAGTCTCACTGCGTTAATAGTAAAATAAAAAAAAAGGAAATGAGATAGTTTGCGAATGTATTATTTACAACGCACGAACGAGAGAGTGAACTCTAACGAATTCATATTTCTGTTCTGTCGTCCTGAAACATTTTTCCAAATATTCGAATGCCTTGCGTGAGAAAAAAAAAAAAAAAAAAAAAAAAAAACGACATTTAAAGTATTTAGGCGTGATCGAATAAATACCGGCATAATTTTTACGTGAGCAAAATCGTAAAAACCAGTCTTGGAAAAACACACATTATTATATTTACCTGATATATGAGGTCACGTAAGCTTGCTTTATAGAAGTAATTGTTCAGTATAATCGTGTTTTAATCAAGGTACCAAAATAAAAGTTTTTATATGACTTAAGCGTGTTTCAAACCCAAACAAACAAACGCACAAACAAACAAACAAACAAACAAACCCCGCTTTTGATCAAATTGGAATATTTGAGTAACAAAATGGGGGTGAAACGGAAGGTAAGTCAATATTATGTTGTTCTTGTTATTGGCAATTGGATCAGACTATCCGATTGCCTGTACTACTTTTGCTCTTGAACATAAAAAAAAAACGCACTCGCTATTGATTCAAAGGAACATTCTGGAGTTCTACTTGTAACTCTTCAAAAACAACAGGTTCCACCTTGGGCATTTTCTCAAAAGAAATTCAGCCTCTATTTAAAAAATTAAAGTTGAAGTTAAAAAAAAAGCTTTCTGTTTTATTTAAGGTAGCTGTGATTCATTTTACACACGCTGTGTGCATATACCTAAACCCACAAGAACAAATATCGCACAGAGAACATTGTCTTGGGGCAATACACTGCCACCTAAATCCTGGCAGCAGCGAAGCTCACGTTGTTGAACTGGTCCAAATCTATTTCAACCGAGTTATTGGATGGAACTCTGACTGCATGCCATTTCCAACTGTCGAATATACAAATTTACCGGTCAGGTAGAAAGAAACTATGAACTGCTATTACTGATTCTTAGCCGAACATACTGATTGCACCCCCGTTTGGTAGCACCGTGTCATTATTCGATGCGATACACTTTTCGAGATGTGCAGTATTCGCACGCCTCACCGTGAGCAAAATGGTCCACGTCATAGGTCCACTTGGCAGTTCCGTACGCGTTGCTGGCGATGACTTCAAAGTGCAGAGCCGGTTCTTCTATTCTGTAGATGGTCTTCCCCGAGGTTGTCAGACGACAGGTTAGGTCTTGAGACTCAGTCTGATCGGTCATATTGCAGGGAATCAGGCTGTAGACGTCGCTGTTTCTGTCGAAGCCACAGAAAAGATGCCAAATTTTCAGAGCCTCGCCAAAGCAAAGTTCAAGGACTGCGAGCGAGTTGGTGTATCCGTGGCACAAAGTATTCACGGGATGAAATATAAATATTCTGAAATATTGTTGGGTGTTCCTGGCGCGACAAGTCTTACAATATCGGTGACCTCGGCGATACTTAAGCGCTGCATTAACTTTAACACTGCTTGCATGAGTACTGCATTTCACTTGGTCCATGCTGCTGCATCCGTATTTACGCATGCCAGTTTTGAGGGGTTTCATAGCCAGGGTGACCAACGAAAGACTAAAATCTAATTGATGGATAGGTACGGTTAGGCCAATGCGGCCACAGCATATTCTGTGTTCGAAAAAAAAAAAAAGAAAACTCAAACCAAAAGTTTAGAAACAAAGAGTTCCCAACGTTTCGGGGTCGACTTGACTCCTTCTTCAAGGGTGACTAGAAATGGAATGGGACAGCGCGAGCTTCTACCTCTCCTTCCTCTTCTACCGAGGTGATGTTTTGTGAACGTGACGTAGGCCATGGACGTAAATAGATGGTAAGGCCCCGAGGGACCTGTTGATGTTCCCCGGTGACTCGTTGGGTTGTTCCGAGTCATAAGCAAGGTAGCTTCCGGTGTGTGTTGGTTTCCTGTAGACCGTGAATACTAGCGTGTCTCCTTGCCTTTTCACCAGAGCATCGGGGAACGGCAAGACTCCATCTCTCTCGTATTCTACAGTGAACTGGGGGGCTATGTTGCATGTTTTGGACTCCCAAGAGACTAGGGAGAAGGGAGTGACGTCAAGAACGCTCTTTGGATGTTGATTGATAGAGTCGCTGATGACGCGTTGCGTGGTGCTGCTAAGATACGTTCATTCTCACCTACGTCACTTCCTTCTCCCTAGTCGCCTGGGAGTCCAAAACGTGCAACATAGCCCCCCTGGATGGCCGATTCTATTGAATTCAGGTGTGCGAGGAAGTGGTTCACCTCTGATTTCTTCACGATGCAAAAACAATCATCTACACAGCGCATGAACTCTTTTGGTCTGTTGGCGAAAGTGCTAAGCGCTTTCTGTTCAACCACTTCCATTGTGAGGTTTGCCGTAGTGACCGAAATAGAGACGCCCATTGCCGTTCCGCTGACTTGTTTGAAAAGCTCACCCTTGAAGCTTAAGTACGTACTGCCAAGGCAGAACTCGAGAAGGCGCGGCATAGCTCATCAACACTGAGGCTGGTCCTTGAGCCCAATGTTTCGTCTTTCTCGAGAACCTCTCTGGCTGCAGCAACTGCTAAGGGAACTGGCACGCTGGTAAAGAGTGACACAACGTCGAAAGACACAATTGTGTCATCATCGCCGAGTCTCATTTGCGAGGCACGTTCCACGAAATGGCCGGTGTTCAGCACATGGGTCGGCGTATTTCCAACAAGGGGAGCTATAGTCCGGTGTAGGTAATTCGATAGCGCTCGGAGCGGTGAGGTCGTAAAGTCTACGATAGGTCTCAAGGGGACGTTAAGTTTGTGGGTCTTGGGTAGTCCGTAGAAGCTTGGCGCAGAGCCACTCCTGCAAATGAGATGCAAGTAAAGGGGTTTCGACTCTGGATATTGCTTGAAAATGTCAGACAACATCTTGCTCACGTTCCGTTCAATTCGGGATGTTGGATCTTTCTTGAGCTTTTCATAGGCCGGACTTTCCAGAAGATCCCGTGCCTTCTTCTCGTACCATGCATGTGAGCATGTGCTGAACCCCGGCCACTTCGTGGAACGTGCCTCGCAAGTGAGACTCAGCGATGATGAGACAATCGTGTCTTTCGACGTTGTGTCACTCTTTACCAGCGTGCCAGTTCCCTTAGCAGTTGCTGCAGCCAGAGAGGTTCTCGAGAAAGACGAAACATTGGGCTCAAGAAGCAGCCTCAGTGTTGATGAGCTACGCCGCTATCTCGAGTTCTGCCTTGGCAGTACGTACTTCAGCTTTAAGGGTGAGCTTTTCAAACAAGTCAGCGGAACGGCAATGGGCGCCTCTATTTCGGTCACGACGGCAAACCTCACAATGGAAGTAATTGAACAGAAATCGCTTAGCACTTTCGCCAAGAGGCCAAAAGAGTTCATGCGCTATGTAGATGATTGTTTTTGCATCGTGAAGAAATCAGAGGTGAACCACTTCCTCCCACACCTGAATTCCATAGAACCGGCCATTCAGTACACTGTAGAATACGATAGACATGGAGTCTTGCTGTTCCTCGACGCTCTGGTGAAAAGGCAAGGAGACAAGCTGGAATTCACGGTCTACAGGAAGCCAACACACACCGGACGCTACCTTGATCATGACTCGAACAATCCAACGAGTCACAAGACGTCGGTGGTCTCTACTCTCTTGTCTAGAGCAATGACCATTTGCTCGTCGGAAAGAGACAGAAGAAAGGAGAAACAGACCATACTTGCTGACCTCCAAAAAAACGGCTATTCAAGGAGCTTTGTTCAACGCGTCGCCCGTCGACAGTGCTGCACGCGCAATAACCATGGATCATCGGGTGACACACAGGCCCCGCCCCATCGCGCGCATCAGCGTCCCCTATGTAAAAGGGACGAGCGACACACTGGCGCGCGTGCTCCGAAAAGAAGGGATCCAAGTGGCGCACAAGCCAGTGTCAACATTAGGACGGCTGACGCCAAGGCCGAAAGATCGCCTCCCGAAAGAGAAAGCACAAGGCGTGGTCTACAAGATACCGTGTGCAGAGTGCCCGCCGCCTACATCGGTGAAACTAAATCTTTTCCCGAAAGCATGCGCCACCATCAGAATGATGTGCGCAATTTCGATCGCGAGCGTAGCGCCGTCGCGGAACATCGTAAGGTATTTGATCATCGGATCGACTTCGGAAACGCGCACGTGAGAGTCACGGAACCACATATTCGAAAACGCCCGTTCTTGGAGTCGTGGCATATCCAGAATACACCGGGGAACATTAATAGGTCCCTCGGGGCCTTGCCATCTATTTACGTCCATGACCTGCGTCACGTTCACAAAACATCACCTCGGTAGAAAAGGAAGGAGAGGTCGAAGCTCGCACTGTCCCATTCCATATTTAGTCACCCCTGAAGAAGGAGTCAAGTCGACCCCGAAACCTTGGGAACTTTTTGTTTCTAAACTTTTGGTTTGAGTTTTCTTTTTTTCGAATTGTTCCCCAAACCAGACAGAGTTCTGTCGAAGATGTTCATTTTCATACTCTGTGTTGGTTGTTGGTGAACAGATGCATTCATTAAACAAGTCAATGTGCTAAAAAGCTTTTTTTAAAATAAACGGAATAAACACTCTAACTAAAGGACCATACATCGTTTCAGCTTAAGTTCAGACGCAACCGACGCTACGAGCTAATGGAACAAATGAAGCAGCGTCAAAGGCGCAAGTCAACGGGCCTTTCCAGCTTATGATTGGTTCAGGAATGATATAACTCATACAGAAACACGACGGACGCCATAATGGTGTCCTTTTGACGCTGTCCGATTGGTCCCATCAGGTCATAGGGCCGGCTGCGTCTGGACTTAAGCTGAAACAAAGTATAGACACGTATTTTGGGACCTCTTTTAGCCGGGTCCCTTCCTTCTCAGCTGCCCTTGCTGCATAGCAATCTCTCGCTGAAAGCGGTGGCCACCAATCTTCACGTGGACTGCCACAAGACAAGTCAATAGTGTTTCCAGGCGCGCTCTCGCGTCACGCGGTGACTCTCGACTTAGAAAATATAGGGAGGACACATCTGGGTCGCTAAACTAGTTAAACACAAAGTTGGGCACGAAGTTCGAAGAGCGCGCTGATTGGACTCTCGCGACGTTTGCCTCACGCGGGACGAGATGTCAATCATTCGAGCTCTCTCGGTGCTCAAATTCCAGCGAGAATGTTAGGCACAAAGTTGTAGGGAGCTTCATCGGAGCGCGCGCGAGCAACACCGTGCGGCCAGCCGATTGAACGGCTGCACTGACGACGTAGCTCCCGCGTTTCACTACATCCCCACGCCGCGATAGAGTCAATGAAACGTAGATTGTACCTAGGCGGGCTGTAAATACTCTGAACTTTCTTGTCGCAAGATCGTCGTTTGTGGAGGTTATTGCTGACGACAAAGTGACGTTTCACAACTTTGGGAAGGGGTTATTTGAGGCTAAAATCTTCGCTTCGGAATCAAGGCGAAGATTAAACTTTGTGGTATTGTGGAGCCGTGCGCGGTGTATGCTGTTTTAGAGCTCATTTTCCGCCACTGTCAACAACGCCACATCGGGGTCACCCACAGGCGTTATGTATAGAGACGTCGATAATGTCTGAGAGATGAGGGGGCGACGGGGGATGGCAAGAAAAAGCCGTGGAAAGGGGAAACGAAAGGTATAACCAACACAAACACAGACTCAAATAGGGGTCAGGAAGGGCCGTAGGAATTGTTCGGGAGAGAAAGAGAGAGGGCGGGAGTGATTGTAGTGAAGATGGGGGATATCCCTTCCCCGAATATTTAGAGCGCAACTCTCATGCGCCCGTTTCGAGGTTGAGCGGCGTCGCCGTCGGCGTAACCGCGCGCGCGTTGCATTATGGGACGTTTTTTCACTAAATTTAGCGGGGAGATTGACGTCACGTGATTTTAATACCAATTAGGTTTCCCCGCTAAATGAGAGGGAAGCAGGATAGGAGGAGGGGTGGAGGAGCATACCCTCCCCTCCTCCCTCTCAAGAGCTGCGCTTTAATCCGACATTACAGATAACTGTAAACGACTGTCATTTTTTTTTAAATATAACTCTCTGAAATGCTATAGACCGGGGCTGGGGCGATATCCCCCCCCCGCCCCCCCTTCCCCCTCCCCCTTACACCCTTATGCCCTTTGCGCCCCCTTTTTTACGCCACTTGAAAGGGCCGGGGGGAGGGGGGTGAATCGTCCCCTTCCCCATTCTTCTGTTTCGACGACCCTGCTTAGAGGCGTTCCAACTGAGCGATGACGAGGAACAGCACAGCGTGCATTTTCGAAATTATTGTTCTAGAGATTCTGGAATTAAAACGGAGCGCGTTCAATGAACTTACGAGCGGCCATGACAGACTTTCAATCGAGAGGCTCGTGCCAGGGCTCGTTGTGTGCAGGTGCGTTCAGTGACCTTCTTTTATAGTTCATAACTTTGATGTCAGGGTCAAGATGATCAGTTGAGAACGACGAATTGGATGGTGCGTGTTCGAGTCGACGGTGAAAAGTTTTGTTGTGCACGATGAAAGCTTGGGGTCCTCGCGTTCTCGAAACATCACCGTCAGTATTGACAAACTGACATTAGTCTTATTTTAGTTGATGAACGCAGAATTAATCCCAGTTTGGCTAATATTTGAAACTATCATAAAATGATTTTATCTCCCGCTGATGGGGACAACTACCCGGAAGCGAAATCCGTCCAAAGGTGGACAATGCTACTCGGCTGGTTGTGACATAGCCACGTCGGGCTACACACTGATCAGCCGAGATAAATATAAGGAACAACAGGGACGTTTTTGTTTTAGTAAATTCTGCTTTATCGGCGGAAATAAGAACGATATCACACTATCAACTTTGACGGTGTTAATTTTAGAATGCAATCACCCAAGCCTCCATTGTGCTTTTTACACACCATCAAGGTCGCAGCTGATAATCTTTATCGTGACATTATACGGATGAACCACGTTCGTCTCCGCGAGCTTTCTGGTGCTGCTCTAGCTCGACGCCTAGGTAGCAGGGATTTTTCGCCGTTTTAATGAGAAACGTCACGAATACTGCCACTGAATGAGCTGCGCTTAGAGTACCGACACGATCCGTTCCCCGACATTGTTGTGCGCGCCCCCATTTTGGGGCTTGTGCAGAGCAGACGCAACTGCTGATCGGCATGATTCAAAAGTGCGACTTCCTTGGCATTAGATTCGGTGTTGGGAAACTCATGTAGTATTGCTTTGCTCTGTCGCGAACTGTTTCAACATTTACGGAGGACGGAAAAGAGTTTCTGCGATTTCAGATAAAGCTTCAGAGAACTGGCAACCATGATTTTAAGCCACATAATGGCCAAGTGTCGTTACTCTGAAGCGTAGCTTATTTAATGGCACTAGTCACGAAGATATACAGATCTGCGCGTTTGTGAGAAAAGAAAACTTCACCGGCAATCTTTCGGCTCCTCCCCGCGCTATGTCATAACACAAAGAAAGTTGTGTCTGATGAGTTTAGCGACCCTGTAGGAAGTATTCACTGGCGGCCATAGCTGTGTGCGTGACTGCTGAGCGCGTGCTGAAGGCGAGCTTCCACAGTTCTCTTGTAACGCGCATTCCGCAGCCTCGAGATTGCCGTTCTTAGCAGCCTAATAATGTGGGCTCGTTCTGAGCATGCGCTCTGCTCTAGACAGCACCCACAAATATGGCGCCCAGTAAATACTCTTTATACGTACCCAACTCGTAAGAACACTTCGTGTCTTGTGCGTATATAGTGGTCCTGCGTTCGCCATGAGCACTGAAATGTCTCGAAATGGTCGCCTGAGCAACCTTCACCGGACGGCTCCAGAGGTGCGTCTGTGGAAAGAAGCATAAACTTTTACTTTCAATTTTGGCATAAACCAGTGGAGCGTGAACATAATCCATGTTTCGCGTTTCTTGAAATGTCAGTTATTTGTATAACGGCTGCGTGACAGCCTCAACAATAGATATGCATTTTGATATGATTTCATCTCGACTGTCGAATTGCTTCAGATAGAGGACGCCAAAGAAGCGCAGCAGGTTCTGTTCTGGCTCGGAGAAATATGTTGCGTTGGGCCAGTTGTTCTCAAATCTTGCAGGCAAAAAGGGTGGAAGTTTAATTATGTCAAAAAAATTAATACTGTAGGGAATTTTCTACCTAGAAGAATGGTGCAAGCCCCGGAACAGGCAGACAATACTTTTGGACGTCTCTGTGATTTTTAAAAATATATTTGTATACCTCACGGGTGGTGTGTGATGGTGGACTCACTATGAGGCGACAGGGACGAAACCAACACGGACTAAGGGAAAAAATAAAGAAGGCTGTTTTACGAAGCAAAACAACACTTATAAATGAGTTCTGTTTTTCCTAAGATATCAAGCCGATTCATAACTCGGAGCGTGATGGAACGATCGTGGCTTCCGGTTGCTTCGTTTCACCGGAAGCGCACATGACGGAACGATCGAGGAGTCGAGCTCCGATGTTGCCTTTTCCTATTGTGCTCCTCGACTGTGGATCAGCAAGGCCCCTGGGATCTGCCCGGGGCTTAATTAAGCTAGTCGTGGCATGCAATGTTCCATGAATGCTAGACGAGCCGGCGATTGGATGCGTGCAACGGCTTGTTTGAGAAGGACGGCAGTAGCGCTAACGTTGGAACGCAGGAAAAAGAGTTGAACAAAGGCGTATCAGTAGCAATTTTTTGTTGTTGTACTGGTCGAACTTTGTCACAGTGCCTTCGCGGTAGAGGGAATGTTGTGTTCAACCTGTTCTTTTATCTAAGTGTCACCTCAAATTTTGAGCTTTTTCCTTTAAATTTTGTTTTCTACTAGAACGTTTTCTTTTCTTTTTTTTTTTAAATTTTACTTACACCATTTGGTCCTTGTTTCTGTCGTCTCACAGTGAGTTCACCTCCAGGGCGTGGACATATCGCCCGAGAGGCATATACCAATACATTTTAAAAATCAAAGAGATGCCCACAATCGATAAGGGTTCCTAGTTTTCTAGCTAATTACGAACACGCATTTCTTGACATTAGTGATTAAAGAGAAGCTTTACAAACACAAAAAAATTACCTGTATAAGCTATGATTCTTGGTAAAAAAAACTTTTGTACGAGGACACAAAACAGAAATAATAAAAACGGGATTTTTGAGAAAATGTATTTCAAACTTAAACTTTTTAAATATTCACGACTTTTAAGTGATGATATTCAAATCGATAATGGAAGCAGCTGAATGAATTTAATATATTTATACACGGCTTTTTTCGCGCTTTCTATGTACATAAACCTATAAATGTAAGTACGTCGCAGATAGCAGCCTGTCAAAATTGATAAATATTCGACCTGATATGCGAGTTTAGGGTTTTTCAAAAAAAAAAATGTAAAATGCCTAAAAATATTTAAATACCTTAAGGCTTCTCTATGGTGGCCACGGAAATATAGACAAAAATTAACATACAGTTAATTAACGTACCACGGGAGGACAGCAAGTCAAACATGCGATATTCGACACTGGGGAAAGACGCTAATGTCCACCGCGGCCGATTGTGCGGTTCATAACTCGTGAACAAAAGAGAAAAAAATATCTCAACACGTGGTTTTCACCTTTCTTCTAGGTAGAAACTTTCCTACAACATATAGTAACGAGAAAATCTCTGGTTAGGTGAAATTCTCCATAGCACCATTTATTTTCTTCTTCTTCTTCTGGTTAGGTGTTCGTCATTTTGTGAAGCTTAAAAGTGAAGCCTAGATAAAAGCATGGCCGTGAGGCTTGACACTGATTGGTTTTGAGTTGTGTGGGAAAGGGGGAGGAGGGGGCGTGTGAGAGGCCATTGCAGTAAAAAGGCGTTTCTGCCGCGAGGGGGAAATTGAATCCAGACAAGAGAGGGGGGGCCCTCCGAAATGGTTTTTAGAGTAATCAGTTAAAGGAATACTGAACTAAGGAATTTAGTGTCCATAATAAGTGGCGCACGTTCTTTCCACGAGCCAGCAGCCGCCGGTGTGCACGAGCACACGCAACAAAAATGACGTCACAGACCTCCATTCGCGGTTGAGATGACAGTGAAATGTATGGGCTTCGAGCCAAAGGAGAATAAAGATAAGTTTTTCATCTACACAGTGGTGTCTGGTGCAAAAGGTAAGCGATGAATTGGTCTAACAAGCACGTAGCTTTCATTTGTAGAGATGAAAAACCTCTCTTTATTCTCCTTTAGTCCGAAGCCCATGCATTTTACTGTCATCTCAACCGCGAATGGAGGTCTGTGACGTCATTTGTGTTGCGTGTGCTCGCGCACACCGGCGGCTGCTGGCTCGTGGAAAGAACGTGCGCCACTTATTATGGGCACTAAATTCTTTGGTTCAGTATCCCTTTAAGCAGTTTAACTGTAGGTAAGGTAGCAGTAAAAAAAGTCTACGAAACCGCAACCTGTCTTTCAAATTAAAACGCGTTCCTTTTGTCTTAGGGAAGTGCTCGTTTGACTAAGAGGGAGTAGGAGGGAGGCGGGGAAGGCGGCGAAGGCCGGGGTCTAGGGGGGGGGGGGGGTTAGGTTTTCTAAAAAACTGGCGAGCCTCCCTTTAACATGCAGAGAACAGCAGCTTGGCCCCCACGGGCCATCCGCCGATGGCACGTGGTGCCGAACGCAGCATTTGCCGAACGCAGAGCGGATGGCCCCACGGGCATGCGTTCGGCAAATAGCTGCTTGACATCCTGTCACACGTTTTTAAAACCCGGGTTAGCGCCGGTATCTAGACTTATTTTCAATTCCAGTAATGTATACATTACTGGAATTTCTATCGGGTGTACACACCACGCGTCAAGCCAGTCGCTTAACTAACCGATGAAGAGTGCAGAGAGAGTAGACGCCACACGTTTCACCTGCAACATGATTTCCTAGCAATTTGCTATGCATTTGGTTTCGTCAAAATTAAAAAAAGGCGACCCTTTTTGCCTGCACGATTTGAGACAAAATCACCCATTGTCGACTGAATATTCAGTCAACTAAAAAACGAAAACTTTCCTGACTGTACACCATAATCCCGAATAAACGCCCACCCATGATGAGAAGAAAAAGAAATATAAACGAGGTGGGCGATCTCTCGGTATTTTATGGATACGTCGTTTTTGCTTTAAATAAGACAACTCGCTTTGTGTGTATGTAAACATAATAAATCAGTTACAGGATAGAGTAAGAACGCGGTGATATCTGCATCGCCACTTACACCCGACAAGGAGCGCTGTGGCGCTGAAGACAGACTCGCAGGCCGACCCTTTGACGGAGCAGTAGTAGGTGCCCGAGTCGCTCGCCTGCACGTCGGGTCGGGTCCAGGTGGCGCTGGTGTCGTTCTGCCGCCGTATCTGCGATGCCGGCACCACGTCGTACCGTGAGCGCAGCATGCCTATCTCGTAGTGTTCGTTGCCTGGCCATCGCGTGAGGAGGCACGTCATCTCGAAGGTAGACCCGTTCCGGACGGTGATGTCGTGCGAAGCGGCTGGAGAGGAGAGCAAAAACAAAAGTTTGTATGGAATCGAAGTTTGCTATGATCTTTAGGTTTTTCCTTCTAAAAATGACATTACATCTTATAGTTACTAACATCTTAAAGAAAAACTGAAACAGTCCTGAATTTAAATAAAAACACCTGATTTGTTTTAATCCAACTCCAAGCAACACGAATAGTACTTCTATTTTATGCCCGCATCGCCTAAAATTACGCTTTTGAAGTTGCATTGAAACCACGCCCTTCCGGGGCAATGGGAGAGGGCAGTAAAATGAGAAGGGAAAGCATGACGTCACAGAGCCAGCGTCTTGCATAGTTGATACTGAGATAATTGGTGATTCATGCTTCTGAAAGATGCTGGCTAAACGTAGGATGATACACGAAGAGAGAGAGAGAGAGAGAAGAGGACAAACGCACTGCTGAACTAGTAACCACTTACTGAAGATCTTCTTCCACACTTATTAGTTTCATATCTCCGAACGAATGGGTGTTGAAAAGGAAGCGGCTTGTCTTCAGTAAATGTTTGCTAGTCCAGAGGTTCCGAGCATCCTTGTACAGAAGATGCAGGCACCTCAGCGAATCCGAGGAGCTTGCGCGAAGGGGAGACGAAACGAGCTAAGGATTTCCAGTTGATAGTTAAGCGACAGATGCATTTAGAATCGCGCCTGCTCATTTTATGACGCCACGGATGGATTAACCAATGACATTCGACGGCGGAGAGATGCTGCATATTTTTCGATTTGCTCACGTTTAGTGTTGATTTGAGAACAATGGTGATATTTAGATTCTGGAGGAAAAACTACGCCCCCAAAAGAGCATTAACTCATTTTTTTTAAAACCTGCTTCAGCTTTTTTTTTAAGAAACAGTCCCAGGCGAATTGCAAGCATCTGGTTATCCCTCCGCAGTCAATGAGCTCGCGACGTTGGCCGATAAGAAAGCCGATGTATACATATCACAAAGCCAGAATCCTTAAATGACGCCGCTGTGTTTCTTACGAGGTCAGAAGTACTACAGTAGATGCATACGTGGCAATTCCGCTCGTTGTACCACAGCCGTTTCGATAAGGTGCAACCAACTTTGTTCGGTTTCAGTGGGCCCCAGTCGGCCTTTTGACGTAACGTCTTTCGAGATATTGGAGCGTTTTAGCGATTTGGGTCCCCCGAGTAGCTCGGAACGTCGCACTGCGCAAGCGCATGAAGCGCGGAAACGTCGACCCATATATCCCAAGACTCAAAAGTAAACATGCTCGACAGATACCTGCTTGGTTGGGTGAGAGTTAAAGTCTGAAAACATATCTCCAACCAAAAAATGAAAGGCAACCCGACGTTTCAAAACCAACACGGTTTCTTCTTCAGGGGTGACTGAAGGCGCGCGGACACAGCAGCAGCTCCCAACCTCTTCGTCTTCAAAAAATGAAAGAAAAGAAAGAAAGAGAAAAGAAACAGAAAGAAAGAGAAAAACACAGAGCCCAATTTTCGAAGAAGACTTTTCTTGGAATCGTGGCACATCCAGCACACCCCAGGAAACCTAAACAGGTCGCTGGGCGCTCTGCCCTCTGTGTACGCACATGGCCTCCGTGACCTGACGGAAAAGCTGAAGAGATGACCATCTTCATAACTAACAAGTTATTTTACAATTTTTTCAATTTCCTAACTTCTCTTTTTTAATTTTTTCTTTTCTCTTTCTTTCTTTTCTTTCCTTTTTTGAAGACGAAGAGGTTGGGAGCTGCTGCTGTGTCCGCGCGCCTTCAGTCACCCCTGAAGAAGAAACCGTGTTGGTTTTGAAACGTCGGGTTGCCTTTCATTTTTTGGTTGGAGATATATTTTCAGACTTTATCCCAAGACTCACTATTCTGCGCCGAAGTCCCGTCCACGCAAAACAAACAGCGATCGACGCCCATGCTACTGTGAGTTGAGATGAACGGCGGTCTATGGAGCTCCAACACTAATTTTTCAAGAAACAGGTTGAGCCACGCCGCGGCAATTTAGCAACGTCCCCCAAGTGTGCAAAGAAATGCCGAGAGATGGCGCAAGCTTGCAATCAACGACCGGCTCTGTGTTCTGATGCTTTCGTCAGACTGGTGTCGCTGCAAAGCGGCGAATTGATTACCTCCATGGGAGTGTAAACACGTGGGATGATGCTGTCACGTAAACGGTGGCGGCGCAAACGGCCTGTTGTTCAATGCAGATTGTTGGGCTAGTTGGTACTGGGAATTTTACGCCATGATGGCGCTTAAGACGAGGACAAAAGGGAGACAGACAACACGGAGCGCTCCGTGTTGTCTGTCTCCCTTTTGTCCTCGTCTTAAAGGCGAACTCCGGCGATATCTTGAGCATCCCCAACTAACCATATATTCGAAATCACCGTGCGTTACTCTTTTCGGTATGCTATTTAGTATCGCGAAATTCAGAATAGTTATTGTGAAATCGGCAAATGAAAACGACGCCAAAACGAAGATTCGAATATACCCGCGCTTTTCATTGCCCTGACGTCACGGTTGGGCTGGATAGCGGTTCGAGCGGGCAGTCTAAATATGAACTATGCCGAGCATTTGTATCGTGCTGCTGCGCGGGAGCTGGAGCGACCTTGCAAGGCATAGTTTTGACACCATGAAACTGTTTGTAATCAGATGTGAACAAAGTCTACAGCCCAAAGAGTGAACTCCTACCCAACCATGACGTCACTTTTTCAATGTTGCCCGTAGAGCTTTTCACTTTGAAAAACACGATGAAGTCCAAAATTGTAAATTCTGTAACTGCACGAAAAAAAGTTATTTTGTCCAAATATTTGGGTTACTAGTTCAGCGATGTTTGTTGGTGTGTCTAGCAAGCTTTTAGGCAAATCGGGGACTATGAAGAAAACGGCGGAGTTCCCAGCGCCATCATGACGTCAAATTGCCTGTTGTTGGACGCCCACTGTACCTGAATCGCGTCGGAACTGAAACGCGGAAAACCTTAGGATGAGATGCATGACGTGGCGGAAACACGTGCAGTTTCCGCCACGGCGCGGGAGCACGTAACTCACGCAACATAAAGGCAACATACGTCGCTGCAACTTATCAGCAGCGCCCTTTGGTCGAGTCAACGCGCAAGATACGGGCAAAAGGCCAAGACATGAAAAAAAAAAAAACCCTTGACAAGGGCTCAGGGAGAGGGCTTGGGAAACGGTTCTTTCGTAAACGCACGCTATAGGTCAGTTGGGCAATCGAAGCGACATTGGGAAATCATGATGCCACGACACGATGTTTTTCTGAAGTTTTTATCCCAATGGCTGGGTATTTGACCCGATAGGCTTGTGCTGTCCTGAATCGTCTGCAACGTATCAGTTAAACGTCAAGGACGTCCAACTGGATTCGTGATGCATTAGTTGCGGAGGGAAAGAACAACCGTCGCTGCTATTTATTTCGCAGATTACAGAGGAGCGCTATCTCGTCTCGTTCAAATGCCTTGAACTGAGCCAATTCCTTCTTTTTTAACGTTTTCCGAGTATTAAAGATGGCGATCCCGAATCCCCATTACCGCGGCTGGCTCTGTTCTATGAGACGCATACAATAAATTGACGCGCATTTGTTTAAAACAAGACCGAGTTCCGCCACGGCGTAAACTGGATGAAAAGGTATTTCCCGATAACGTCGGAAAATTATTTACCTATCGTAAAAATTACAGTAACCGTAAGAAACTTTTCACAACTCATAATAAGTCAAAAAAAAAAAAAAAAGAAGAGCGTACTTAAAATTTACGCCACACTTGCCCGAAACGATATTTTATGTAGAAAAAAACACAAATCCCCCCTTACAAAAAACAAAAAAAAAAACAAAAAAAACGTTAATTACAACATGTACTGAAACAGTCCTTCCAAATAATCAGTTAGACTAAAGAAGATTGATTTTGTGTATTAGACGTTTGCGAGTAACGGTTTTTGGGCGTCGCCATCTTGCGGCTGGTGTAAGTGAATCGTCTGATAGTCGAGCATTGCTGTGGCCTTGGGTACGCCTCAGCAATGCTTGACTATCAGACGATATACCCACACCAGCAGCAAGATGGCGCCCCCCCCCTCCCCCCCCCCTCCCCCTGTGGTAACACTGTGAATATATCGTATAAACGACAGACACTGCCTGAGGTCTGGCTTGTATGACGTCACGTTTGACGTAAAACAACCGTTTGGAGAAACGTTCGAAGCACACGTGCGTATATGAAGCAAGCATGCTCTGAACGAATACCCGAGGCGCGTCCACAGGTAATTTTATCATCGTGCCCGCGGCAAACAGCCGATGTGTACTTTGGATAACGTTCCAGCAGTGCGACTACGGTTTTAGGATGATTGTAGAGATGCGTTCGAAGGCTTCGCTTCTTTGGTACCTTTATACGAAAACGAACTATAATTTCAGAATACTCATTGCTTCAAACGCAGTTCAATTGCTGTAATCCTATTGTAGCCCTGCCAAAATACCTCCCCTTCTAGTGTCATATATTCTCCCGGCGTTCGAGCTTTCTGCACTGCGTAGCTTTCTTATGCCGGTCAAAACACCTGGTTTAATATTTTGTTTTTCAACGGACCCGGTAATTTTTTTTTGTCTAATTCTTTGTAGAATAGTTATTGCAATGCCCAGTACCACCGATCTCCCCACTCTCCACCCCACTCAGTGAACCACTTTGAAATTCGCGCCGACAAGTAGTTTTCGAAAATACAATTTCTCATGCACCGACATTTTCTTAATGATCACTTTACGCAAGCACCGACTATATTACTTATGCAGAGCGGAAGTTCGTCTGCTTCTTTTGCAGGTGTTCTTGTGACGTCAAAATGCCGAGCTCTGATTGGCTCTGCTTGAAGGATAGTGGGTAGATTTCAAAGCAACCTTAACCTCCCCCTACCCTTCAATCAGAGGTAATCAGAGCTCGGCGTTCTGACGTCACCACAACAGCTGCAAAAAAAGCAGACAAGCTTCCGCTCCAGATTGATCTCGAAATACAAAAGTTACGGCGATACGTTT